ATGTAATTTAATTATACTTGATATTATTATTATTTTTATTAAAAGCTATACCTTAAAAATCCCATACTATGAACCAAATATGGTAAATTAGAAAAAAAAAACAATTTCAATAAATTTTTATAAATATTGTTTTTCTATAAAAAATTAATTTTTTTTCAATTGAATTTCTTATAATTGAATCTTGAAGAAAATTAAAAGAATGAAATTTAATTATACTTGATATTATTATTTTTATTAAAAGATATACCTTAAAAATTCTCTGAACAAAGTAAAATTGGAATAAAGGAACAATTTCGATTTATTAAAATAGAAAATTAATGTTAGAACGTTAAGGGATTTTTAAATATAGAAAATGCGTCTGAAAGTTCAATAAAAGTGCATATTAATCGACATGCTATACATATTCTTGATAACTATCGAATTCCACGACTGAGGATTTCTATGGCTCGCGTATACATCCGTATTAAATACTATTCTATAATAGATAAAAAGATGAGATTAATTTGAGAGCACAATTTATGTCGAGTCATTGACGCTTGAAATACTTGACGACCCTTGATTTTTAGCGTGAAATATATATGAGAGTATGCGTTCAATGTTCCGCGATAACCGGTTGTCAACGCGCTTAATAAGTATCAATTTGTACGTCATCCGTTGTGGTATTTGCGATTCAAATGCGATAAATTGACAAAGTAACATAAGGCAATCCACTATCAAATTCGAAAAGTAGAATGAATAGATGTTCTATATAATAATTGCTATAGCAGCTATCGCTCCGGGGCTTATTGTGTCGCGTCGCGAGAAAATAATCAGGAATTACAATACAAATCTGTACAAAGTACGTGAGATAACATTTAATAACATATTTATAATTCGATCGATGCTTTTAATTTCACAGATTTATGAATTATTTACATTATACAATATATATATATATATATATATATATATATATATATTTATCAAAAATTTTTTAATATCAAAGAATATAATAAAAAAAATATATATATATACGTATATTCAGGATGTTTTAGAACTGGAAAAGTTTTTAATGGCAGATTTCTGGGATTATTTGGAGACGATTTTTCCTCAGTGAAAATGTCCAGGCATTAATAATTTTCAAGTTATAAGTATTATTGAAAATGAAGGCTTTTTTGTAAATTAAGCTTTATGGAAATAAAATATTTAGAAGACCACAGTGTAAAAAAATATGTAGTATACTACATAAAAATATGTAAAATAATATAAATAATTAAATATAAACACGACAAATAAAGAAAAACGTATTTCATTTTTTGTAAACTAAATTTTATGGAAATAAAATATTAACAAAACCACAAAATATGTAATATATCACATAAAAATATATAAAATTACATAAATAGTTAAGTGTAAAATTACATGATAAATAATGAAAATGTATGCAATTTTATTATTTATATTGTAATTTTATTTATATTATTTGTGTATAATATATTTTTATGTAAAATTACATAATTAATGTAATTTTACATATTTTTTTACAGTGTACATTCTTCAGTTAATTTCAGGTAGAGTTTACTTTAATAGAATTTCCAGGTACAATTTACTTAATAGAATTTTAATTTAAGGCTTAGTTACATGGTGGCAAAAATTGGGAACATGAAAAAATGAATCTGCCATAAAATTTTCCCGCCAATTTTGAATCACCCTGTGTACACACACACACACACACACACACACACATACACACATATATATATATGTATATATATATATTTGAAATTTTGCTTCAAAATTTTAATTAATAGTTTGATAAATATTCTTCCAAATGTTCTACATATATTTTTTCCTTAAACAAATGTATTGCATAATAATATGAGATAAATGTATATATAAACGCATATTATGCAAATCACGCTCGAAATACGTAACATATATCGCTCGAATAATTGGTACACATGTACATAATCGAGAGTGATATGGAAATATGTAATATTAGCGCGGCAGATTAAAAATAGATCGACAGTCATCGAGTATAGTTGAAGTTGATAACCGCGCGTCTGCAAACAGATCTCGGGAGATTATAGAATGAACTATCGCATACACGTGCGCAAGTCGCTTGTCACATTTCCTAGTATCTAAGAGGTATTTCCCACTTCAGCTCCGCAGTTTTACGTCAACCGCAATATGCGCGGGAGTACTTATACAAAAGAAGTTGACATAAAAGAATGCGTGATCGCGTATCCGTTTCGCTTATCTCTTACAATCTTCAATAAAAATATTCAAATCATGAGTAATTTCCGTAATTAGTATTTTTAATTACAAGTTTTTCTTAATTAGAATTTTAGTAGCAAAATGTAATTTAATTTTTTATTTTATTCGCAGATTTTGAGAATTAATTTTACGATATAATACTTTTTTATAAACTCAATATATTATTAAACAATAATTAATATATTATTAAATAAATCCACGGATGTTTGTTCTCCACTTTGCAAGAGTTTTGAGATAAATATTTCTTTAATCATATTTTTTTAATTTCTCGATTATTTTCTCGTTGCATTTATTAATATTATTTGGACGAAATAAATGAAATAAAATTAAATAAATTAATAAATTAATTTTGAAGTATCAAATATTTGCCTTATATTTACATATACTATTATTATAAAATAGGATCAAATTCTTTATATAAATATATCAACAATTGTTGATTTTTATAGCAAAATGATTATCTTACAGTGGGATGTATCCGGGTATTTCCCAAATTATACAAATTGTTCGATTACATGTACAAAAAATACATGTGTTCCTGCAATATCTTCTCATGCGGAAAACTTTTCACATATAGTAAAGGTGTAAATTATTAATGACGATAAACGGGATAGTAAGAAAAAGAGAGAAGAAAGAAAGAGAGAGATAAAATTACGGATGAACCATGAACGACGTAATACTAGTGTATTCGCGTTAATTTTATTGTCTGTCTTCAGTAGTGTTTCGTTATTTGCGTCTCGCGATAAGATTCTGGAATCGAAAGAGAGTAAAATAAACTATTTAAGAATGAAAGTCTACAATACACTGCCCTACATACAGATCTTTTAATTTAAAGATGGGATTCGCTTCTTCTTCATCTGTCACTTGATTGTCACTAAAAATAAATTATTAATCTTCTATCACTCATCCTCGCGTGTGTGTCGCTAAAAAAATATGTCGCTGTCGGGAATAATAGAGAAGAAGCGTCATGTCACTTCAGAAAAGTGTAATGGATCCTGAAAGCAGGACCTTTGTCCTCGGATTCGCGCGACATAGACGCGCATGACGCAGAATTGCGTAAAAAAAAAAAAAGAATAACTAATTTGTGTATTATACAAAGAAAGTAATTAAAGTTCTTTTTTTTTTTAAGTACACGGCATCGTAATTAGTTTTAAAGAGCTCGAGATATCGCTTTGAGTCTCTCGGCTAATCACAAGTCTGGCAAATTTAAGTATGCAAAGGAACAAAAATTACTATAAATTAGAAAATTCGTTCTATAATCAGTGTTTGCTCTGTTATCTAAATAAAATTATATAAATGATCGTCGAGATAAAGTTTTGGTGGCATCTTATCTTTATATAGATAATAAAAATATGTTATCTATATATCCACATTTAAAAAAAAAATGTTATTTTTATTATATTATTTAGAATAATGTTCAAATAATTTGGTTTAGAACCACATATAAAAATATTGAAGCAGCAAACAATAAAAGCTTATAAATAAAAGTATGAATATATTTTCATATCTTTTATAATTTACATTTTTTTATAACTGTTTAAAAATAATATTATCTGGAAGTTATCTATAAATCGCCACCTAATTTTGTTTTGTTTTATTTAAATATATTTAAAACTAAATCATCTTTATTTTATCTAAAAGATAAATGTACATATTTTTATTTCATCTTTATCTAGCTAATTTTAAAATCATCTAAGTACAACACTGAATGTAATGAATGCCACAATGATGATGACATCATTTATTATTTCTCATAATAGTATGTATGTGCGATTTTCTTTCGATTTTAATTATTAAGATTTTGAATTTCAAAAGTACAACAATTATTTTAAATAATTTTAAATTTTAAAATTAACTATTGTAGATAAAGATGAGATAAAAATAAGTAAATTTATCTTAGATGAGGTTTTAAATATATGAAGATGTTTCAAATATACTTAGATAAAAGATAAAATAATATGGTAATTCATCTAAATAACTTCCAGATAATTATTTTTTAGAACAATATTATTTATATTTATTATTTATAAAATATTTATGTAATATATTATAAATAATAATATAAATAATATTATTTATTTTAAAACCGCTTATGTAAACAGTTATAAAAAAGAAATTATAACAAGAATATAAAAATATATTCATACATTAATTACTTTGTATGTGCTTTAAACTAAATTATCTGAGCATTATTCTACATAATTTAGTAAAGTTAACATAATTCTAGATAATTTTTTTCATTTCAAATATAGATACATATCATATATTTTTATTACACAGATATAGATTATACATACATATGTATATATAAAAATAAGATGACGCTAAAATTTCATCTAGATGATCCTCTATATAATTTTATTTAACAGCAAACACACTGAATATAATTAATATTAATTTTCATATAATATTAATTACATTAATATTATATATATTACATTAATATTAATTTTCATATAATATTAATTATAAATAATTTTTTTAAATATGTTAGACACATAGATATACAACAAATATAAATATAAATTAAATTTCCCGTATACAGGAAAAAAGAGTGAAATTGGTGAACCCCGAGAAAAAAATTAGAAAGCAGGTATCGCGCGTAAAACGCGAGGGTGGATATGCGCCAAAGAATAAAAGTGGGGGCGATCTAGTCGTAGAGGGGTGGGGATGGGGGGAGGGCCGGGTTACGCCGGGTATATATATGCTCGATGCGAGAGAGTAGCTACAGTTCACCAGGGAAGACAAAAGCAACGTAAGAGAAAGAATCGTGGCAAATCGAGTCGGGCTCGAGATCATACATAGTGAAGAAAAAAGAAGTTATATATATAAAGAGAACTTCAACGGAGGTTTCAAAAAAAAAAGGAGACAGAAAGAGCGACAAGTGTGTGACGAGATCGTGATCAATTACACGTGACAGTTCTTTTTTTTTTTTTTCGTTTTTTGGTACTCCGTTGTTCGAATTGATTTTGTGCGTGCGAAGATGAATCTTTCGATCAGCGCGACGATCCTGTGCGTCCTGATGGTGGCACTAATGTCGGAAACGGCGTACATCAGGCCACCCGATTGGCATCTAAGGTACGGAAATTTTTCAGGAAATTTTCGCGATGCCGGAGATTAAACAAAAAAAGCGGTTTTTGAACAAGAACGTTTCTTACTTTGCGTTTTTAAGGCGCTACAACATGAGGCAACTTGCGAAATTGTTGCGACACACACATCGTTTCTCTTCTCTCGTTACCGGATCATTCACATTAGCCTTCAAATCGCGCCCCGATTTTTCTATTTTATTTTGTAATATTCTGTTATTTTGTATTTATTTTTCTATTACTTTCTCTACTAACGACCTAATATTTTTATCGTCAAATTATATATATATAACTTCCAGATAATATTATTTTTAAACAGTTATAAAAATGTTAATTATATAAAAGATATGAAAATATATTTATACTTTTATTTATAAGCTTTTATTGTTTATAAATATATTTATACTTTTATTTATAAGCTTTTATTGTTTGCATATAAAACTCAATTTATTTTAAATAAAATCTGAATGTTCAAGATAATATAAAAATAATATAATATAATTAATTAATACTTGGTGATTAAAAAATAATATTATTTTAAATAATATTATATAATATAAAATAATATTATATTAGTTTTAAATAATACATGTGATATATAATTAAATAATGTTATCGTGTGAATTAAATATAACTGCGATCGATTTTATAATATATAATTTAATGATTATCATTTGGACATCAAATAATAATAATACCGCGAATCTAATAATCTCTGTAGTTTTCTCTCTCCTTTCTGAACCTTCCCTTACGCGTTTATTGAACATCGCCGAAGCTTTGTTTCAGGTACGCTTGTAAGATTAGCACGGTTATTAAAGAGATGAATCTTTTGCCACGTTTCGAGATTAAAATTAATTATCGCTGATTCGATCGATATAATCGATTGTTGACGACTTAGGCAATCTAAGGGATTTGCATATAAAAAATCAATTTTAAAAATAATTCTCTTTTTCTCCAGATTTATAATATCTCTTTACGATGATCGCTGTGAAAATATTCGATTAATTTGTAATCTTTCTTTTTGTTGCAGTCGATACAGACGCCTTTCCGATCAGAGACTCGCCGAGCTCGAAACGATTTTGGCGCTACAAAATGTGAAGGGTGTCGCGGTTCCCGTAGCATTTGGAAAAGTGGATCCAGCTGTCGTGTAAGTTTGCTCTTTTTATTCCACTAATAAAGTAGAAAAAAAACAAAAATAAATTAAAAACAAAAAAATTTAAATTAATTAATTTTGCTATAATTGTGATATGATATAATTCGGTTTCAAGATGTATGGGAGATATTTAAAAATGATACAAAATAATTATGAGAAAAATTATATAGGTCGTTTTCACTTTGATATTAAAACTGTAAAAATTTGGATTTAATTCACCAATTTATTTAAAAGTTATTGCAATTTAAATTTCCGCTGATTTTACATTTAATCTTATGAAAATTTGTTACTATGCTCGATTATATTATGTTAACAATATATTGATAAAATGGTACCGTGTGTTTCAAATTTTTTACATGTATATGGAAACTTTAAGGAACATATATAAATATATATGTGTGTGTGTGCGTGCGTGTGTATTTGTTCATTATATGCTAAACTTTTTCTTGAACGTATTAAAAGGCTAAATAAATTATCAATTGTCTTAGAATTTTTTAATTATATATTAACCGATTCAACTTTCATCTTTGCACTGTCGTAACACAGACACGATTAAATTGCAAAAACGTTAGTCATAATTATGATAAATGATATCTTTTCCTTAACTCCGGAAATTTTATAAAGTTCACGCCATCCTTTTCATAAGTCTATCGCCACTATGCAGATATGCTTAACGCGAAATTCTACTTTTTTCGAGAAAAATATGATAAAATAATCACTCGAAATATAATTATATATAATATAACTTTATCTTCAGGAAATATTCAAATATACTTTATTTTTTTTTTTATTAATGATAAGATCTTTAAGAAAAAATAAAGTTAAAATTATATATATTTATAATAATAAATAAATAAAAATTGTATGTTATTTTTTTATTTCTTCAAAGTTTTAAATTATTATGTAACTAAAAAACATTTAATTTAAAAAATGAACGATATAAAAAAGAGTTACGCAAGTAATCTAACATCGAGAAACTATAATGCAAGTAAAATGAAGGACGCTTTGAATATGTACAATATTTGTTAAAAGAAATATCTTCATGAGAAATAATATAAAATAGCACAACGGAGTATAAAAGACTTTTTTTAATAATAATATCTTGTCCCTATTCTTATATGACATCAACATTCGCTTTGCCCGCATTATTGATCTTAAGCATAAAAAGAATTGAAAGAAAGAAGAAGAAGATGAAAAGCACTTTCAAATACAAATTGCGCGAACGCGTATGCGATGGTGCCTACTGAATAAATAACATATATAACTGCATCGAGGTGAAAGAGAAAAAAATACGCGATTGTGCGAGAAAAGGAGAAGAAAAACGAATGAAGCTAACGAAGATGGCAGCCCTAAACTAGGTTAGGTTACTACACGTCGAACGTTTCGTGAATAAATTTCTATTATTCCCAGATAGATATTCTCATATATCTGTATTTTCTTACGTCTCTGCAAACGGTTCCATGTAATCGAATGTTAACTGTTTACACGAGTGAATTAATTTACTCCCAGCACATCATTACTGTAATTATAACGCGGGATGTGTGAACATCGCGAGTAATATTCTACCATATATTCTTCAATTAATAAATGGAAATGTGAAGCAATTCCATTTCTCTTCTCTCTCGCTTTCGTATCTTTTTGATGTATTTTAACACATTTTAAAGTAATAGCTGTAATACTCAAGTAGCAAACTGCCGTCATTAGACGTCAAAATGACGCCATTTTGACGTCATTGACGTCTAATGACGTCAAAATGACATATGCTTGCTATTTGGGCATTCAAAAAAGGTGTATGCTAAATATATGATATATTGTACACTGTAAAAAAATTTTGTAAAATTACATTAAAAATATGTAAAATTACATAAATAATAAATGTAAAATTACATGATAAATAATGAAAAGGTAATCATTTCTATTATTTATCGTGTAATTTTACACTTATTATTTATGTAATTTTATATATTTTTGTGTAATATATTACATATTTTTTTACAGTGTATGATGTAATACATACTTTTTGGAAGAAATTTGAGACACATATTTGAAAACTAATAAATATGTTCTGAGACACAATAATTTTTACGGGGATTTTTCTGAACACTATTCTTTTCAAATTTAAATAATATAGAGAGAGAAAGAGAGACAGAATAAAAAATTGAAACACACAATTTAAAGGAACACCTGTTGATAAGATTTTTTTCGCTAGTTATATTTATTAATAGAGATCTCTCTCTCTTTTCTTTTTTTTTTTTTTTTTTGCGACTTATCTCAACGACGACATTATCAGAAAAGCAATTAATTAAACTTCAATAAACAAATTATGCGTCATAATTTGCATGACTGTCATGTTTATTTGTCAGCGATAAAGTTTGAACGTCTGATATCATATAGTAAATTGACAGATCCTCAGTGATTGCATGACTATTGCATAGGAAGGCGTGATCTTTTCGTTTTTTGTATGTACATGAGCATGATATGAATATTTCGATAACGTGGCACTTGCTTTCGATAAAAAAAATAATATCAAAAATAAAATATTTAAAAATGGTACAAAATTCATAAAAAAATATATAGATATCGTTTCTATTTGGATATTAAAGCTACTGTTTATCAATTTTGAATTTAATTCATTAACTTATTTAAAAATTATTGCAATTTAAATTTCCGCTAATTTTACATCTGAAAATTCGTTACTATATATATAATCGACTACATTAAAAATAAAATATCAAAAAAATGGTATCATGTGTGTCAAATTTTTTACATGTATAATTGAAACTTTAAAGAACACAATGTTGCACAATTACATTAACATTTCTTAACATTCTGGTTTTTTTTTTATATAACTTAATTTGACAATCGATATATTTCTTCGCACAATTTACGGCTCAAGTTTTAACATAATCTCATTATTGTTGTTTAGGGGGCGTAAACGAAGATCCATCACGGAATCAATTTTGGGTCAATCTAATCGGATTCGTCCCTTAGTTTGGGTAAGATAATATAAACTGCCATACCCACATGCGTCCTTGTTTCGCGTAACATTTCATAATATATCGTCTATTTGCTGATAAATTTTACGCACGAAAATGAATGTGTGGAGCGCGAGAATTGCTTATATATTATACATTTCTGTGACAAATGTTTTATATGAAAAGTACAATATGAAACACGCCGTCACATGCAACACTTTCGGTTTCTGTAGTGCTTCGTTCTCTCTCTCTCTCTCTCTCGACTCATTTGTCATATGTTCGTTCTCGGGTAATAATTCTACGACAAGGAAAGATCGACCGAACCGTCAGCGCGTGCTGTGAAGTCTAATGAACTTTCGGAACGTAATTAACGATTTCTCGACATACGTGATATACTCCGACATTTCGCGTTTCATCCTTCATTCCCTTGTCCTCCCTTTATTTATTTACTCTTGTCGTTCAATTATCGGTAAAGCGAACAGCCGTTACTTCGTGACATTCAACAGGTAGTTAAACAGAGTTTGCGAAATGCTACGACAAACTTGTAGGATACATTCCTTACGTTAATAAAGAAAACAAATTTATATAAATACCAGGGTTGGGTTATAGCTAGTTAATTAGTTAAAAGTTAAAAAAAAAGTTAATAACTTTTTTAGTTAATTTAAAATGTATTAATTTTTAACTTCAACTAATTATTTTTGACTTTAAACTTATATTAACTTTTTTGCTAAATTACTTATTATTTTTAATTTAAAGTTTATTAATTTTTATGTTTGTTTGTCATAAATTACTAAAAAATATATTTTTATATAAAAATCAAAATTATTCTGTTATTTGTTATTATAAATTTTAAAAAAATTAACAAACAAAATTCTAATTTAATATAAATAATGTTTTTAAAAATTAATTCCTGATATTTAACTTCAGTTAATTTAATCTTAACTTAACTTTAACTAAGTTAATTTTTTGATTATACAACTTTTAACTTAACTAAATTAGTTTTATAAGCAACTATAACTTTAACTTAACTTAGTTTAAAAAAATAATTAACTTACCCAACCTTCATCAATACTCATGTGAGCATTTCTTGTCAATTAAATGCGATGACGATTTATTTTAATAATAACGTTAACTTAATAAACTTTGTTTCACTATAATCCCATCTTTATAATAATTATCTCAAGATTCAAGAATTAATTTTATTTTTGTATATTTTAATTGCAGACGGAAGATCAACGGGAGGAACAGAGATTATCGGACGATTATTTAATTCAGAAGCTTTTCGGACTCACTCAAGGATGAGACGGAAACTAGAAAAAAGGAGCAGAAGAGAGAGAAAGAGAGAGAGAGAAAGAAAAAAGTGAAGAACGCAAGAGAAAGGGAAAGCGAGAGAAAGAGGAAATAGAGCAATTAAAATGGATATACACACTAACACACACATATGAACACACACGTACACGCAAACACACAAACTCGCATTTAAATTAATTTCTCAGTGGTGATCCGTCAGTCATGAGCTTTCAGTTTGTTTTATGTACCTTTTTTACGCCTTGAAGAAGTAAATAATTAACTTTCAACAAGCAGAAATTACTGCGTAACGTGTGTAAATAATGGACTAGAACGGCAACAGCGGGAGATAACGAAAATGTATATAGGGCATAAATTACCGTGTAAAGTAACACGGTAGTCTTCTCCTTGGGACGATCGTATCCCCGGACTGCGTCCTCTTTATTTTAAGTATGTATTTTAGAGAGACTTAACGAGAACACACAGTATTTTATATATATATATATATATATATATATATATATGCGAATATTAGCTCAGTATTTTTGTGACAATGAGCGTAATTTATTTCTATAAGGTATCCAAGTAGCAAAGTGACGCCATTTTGTCGCTCGATGACGTCATTCAACGTTAAAATGGCGCGCGCTTGCTACCTAAGAACTAAATCTCTTTCGCGATTTGATTTATTATACGATCGCGTTAATTTGTTTATTCAAGATGCTTAGATTAATAATTAAAATATAGTAATTTCGTAAAAAAATAGTGAAAAATTATTCAGTTTTTAAATATCGCAGTCCTTTCTCGACTGCGTCGGATGTTTAAAACGATATATATTGCTGTACCTATTACATGCAGACATCGCGTAATTTCGTAAGAAAACGCAATCGTCATTCTAAACTGGCTTTTCTCGATTACGCCAGTTTGTTTCGCGGAACGCGTGATCTCTCGATTATTCACAATATGACATTGAGACTTGGAAAGAGACTTCTGTTCTTTCATTTGAGATAAAAAATTACAGAATCTTACGAAATTTTTCCATTTTCCCAATAAATAATTTTCATTGGAAATTTTATTATTTTTATTTTTACTCATCAATTCGTTGAATACGCCATCGCGATCACTTTCAATTGTTCTCTGAGAATGGTGACACAAAGCTTTGAAACAAAGGAAAAATGGAGCTTAATTGTATTATATCTCTTTCTAGAATGCACAAGAGAATCAGAGAATAGTGCGGGATCTAAATGCAGCTTAATTTCGCACGATATAGCATTTAATGAGAAAATATCTATCTGAGTTTTTCCTTGCGACAAATTTAATTCGACAAATTTATTCTTACTTTGATGAATCTCTTTCCAATTATAAGATACAATTGTGTTTGTCCAAGCGAAATTACGCGTCCGTTCTGTCTTTCGCGTACAAATTTATATCGTGCTCGCCGGTATAAATTTTTTTCTCCTCCGTTATAACACGCAAAGTGCTTGTTGTACTTTATTGTTAGCATAAAGGACCAAAATTAATATTAATCGCTTCGAAAACTTTTACGTTCGCCACGCGAGCGACATACGTTGCATTCCGGGCTCGGCCATGTTTTCTTATTTAGTCTTTATTAGATTCTTATTTAGTCTCTTTTTTTTCTATATGCTGATGTTTAAAAAAATGAGACTTTATGTCGGACAAGAAAAAAAAAGATTATTTGTTTGTCGATTAGGATTTATCGCAGATGCGACTGCGTATTGAGAAATGTTGCGCGAAGTGTTTTTGACATTTGACGAAATTATCTTTTAGCAAATGATTAATGACTCGTCTCTAGACGAGTTTTATTTACTTTTCTCAAGTTTTTTATTTAGAGAAATTAGTTTAAGTATTAATTGGACTCCGTTTCATGAGTCTTTACGTTCCTTACTATTTTTAATATACTTATTTAATATACTTATTTATATGTCTACTACTTATTTGTAAAGGAAAGAGAGATACTAAAACCGACATATATACAATTTTTGAACGGATATTCTTATGAAATTGTATTGCAATTTCGATGATTTCATTTCTTTTATATTTTTCTTTGAAAGTGAATGAAAATTGAGATCTAAGAAATTGGTTTTCAAAATCGACTCACTAAAAATCCACAGAAACACAACAAATAGATAAAAATAAAAATAAAACAAATATAGAAATCTACAACTAATATTGTAGAAAAATATCATATGAAAAAAACATTTTCTTATTACTACTTTTTTTTATTATGTAATTTGACAGAAAAAAATTGTTATACTTATTGGAACTTTAATTAATTAAATGAACCAAATTCTCATAAAGTGCAGCATTTAAGTGCTGAAAATAAAAGTACGTCGGTTTGAGTATCTTTTTTCCTCTCGATATATATTATTTATTATAATTATTGATTAATTTATTTATTTATATATTTATTTATTTATTTATTTGTGTATTTATTTTCTTATTACATGTGTAAATGCGTCTACATTGTGCAAATGAACTACAAACTACAAAATCTTAGGAGATTTTCACAATATCATACAAATACACACAAGCACTGACACATTTTCATTTTCTTTCTCATTTATTAATTATATCGATTACTTTGAACAAACATGTATACGCAATTGTGAATGCAATAAAATGAAATAATCGATTATTTGTGTAATTTGTTCTTTTCTCTTATATTTGCTCTTACAGATATAACACTTGATGAACAAAAATATCGTTCAGATATTATTGATTGTTGTTCAACAATCTTCTTTTTTTTTAAATCTTATTATCTCGTCATGTCATTTAATTATTTCGATATATATTTATTTTATATAAATAAGATATCATTCAAAAATCACGTAATTTTTCAATTCAAATATTTCGGTTAATATCTAATGTGTAATAGAAATAAAAAATGTTATTGAATAAATATCATTTTTTTTTAAAGAAAAAGAAGATAATCAGAATAATGCACTTATTTGCTAGAGTTTGCATTAATATGTTTAATAGCTGGCATTGCAAAGATTATGTATTTTAAGCTTGAATATTTATTGATTTATTCATTTATAGGCATATATAAATTTTTTATATCAAATTTGTGTTCGCAGCATAAAAAGGATAATTAAAACACATTTTGAATGATTGCCTTGAAGTATTCATGAAAATGACATGTAAAAAATAATATATATATTTATAAAAGACATATTATTTTATGTGATATGTATATAATAAAAACTACTAAAATTAGGCGCACAAAAATTACATTACGACTCCCTCTAGAAAGATACAGTGAAGAGAGAAGAGAATTGTACCTTTCTGTCGGTAAATACAGAATTCTTTCTTTGTGTACGTAGAGTTTTACATTATTACATCGTTATATTACCTTATATGTTACCACACATAGATCTTTTTACCGAAGTAATAAGTTTATTCAATATTATTATAAATTTATACACAAAAGACAGAATTGCCTGCATATAAGTTTGATATATATTTGTTAAAGGTAGATCAATTTTTAAGCACTTTATACTCTTTTGTGGAAAGAAAAGTTACACTCGATATTCTCACTAAAAATATTACATTGAAAGCATCAGCTAGTCTGCAGATATTTTATATATTATAACCGATAATGATTTAATCGGCGCAAAAATTACATATTTTCTTTAATAGCGAGTCAACCTGTCGAGCCAATATGTCGGACCAATGATGTTTTATACTACTTGCTTTCTGGAAAGAGGCGAAAACAACGCTAAGCAATCTTCATAAGTAGATTATCATTAATTGTCCATATACAGGGTGTCCCAGAATTAGCGAATCGCCCGTTAATGAGAGATTTCTGAGGTAATTTGGATTTTTTCTCATCGAAAATGTTGAGAGAGAGATCATCATTTTTTTGCACGTTTCCAATTTTTACAATCATGCATTTTTAGAACTAATCCTTAAATTATAATTTTATTTTTAAAAATGCAGTTCTGTTAATAATTTATTTTCACAAGACTTTGTTTGCAAAAATCCTTTATTTTCAATCAATAATTATTATTGATGCCTCGACATTTTTGCTGAAGAAAAATCGTTTCCAAATCAGATAAAGATTCAGGAATTTCCCATTAACGGATGATACGGTAAGTCTGGAACATCCTGTATATATTATAAAATATTAAAATGTACCTCAGCATGTGTAAAAAAATAAAATAATAATTTATAAATGAAAAATAAATAAAAATTTATTCCGCCAAAAATTAAATTCAAAAATTTGCAATTATTTATTATTCATTTCGGATTCGAGTAAAAAGAGAGAGAAAAATAACGCGCGAGAGAATGTAAATAGTAAATAAGAAATATTATTATGTGTATAGTACGCAAAAATATCGTAATCTAATCGTCATCCATTGGGAAATGAAACACAACAAGTAAAATTATGATCCGATTTCGAGGGGTTTTTTTCGTCATGTGTCACCCAATGATGCATTCAACATTTATCTAATAATATACAGGGTGTTCTAAATTTACCGTATCATCCGTTCATGGATTTCAGATTCCTAACGTCATTTGAAAACAATTTTTCCTCAGCGAAAATGTCGAGCAAAGTCATTATTTTTGCATATGTTCTTAATTTTTGCCATTATGTATCTTTGCAACCAACCAAGTAGAAAAAAGTCAAAATACTATTATTTTGACGTCATATTGATCAAATTTGGTGTCCAAGTTGACACTTGGACAATAAGCCTTAAATTAAAATTCTACCAAAGTAAACCTAATAAGTAACAAACTGACGTCATTAAGGGGATGCTGACCATGTCTGTTTTACCGACTTTGAGTTCAAAGGTTTTTCTTTTTATTGGCTGTACAAATTGAAAAATCCTTTTCCACAATTAAAGTATTAATAATAATAAATGGGGAGCGCTGCTTCCGTATAAAAAAACAATAAAAATTTAAAAAATGCAGTTTTTTATCGATCACTTCCATCAGCTCATAACAATAGTTATTTAATACAAAAGTTCTGCAGTTTATTTGCACACAAAATATGGCGCTCCCAATAGAAATGACATGAAAAAATAATACAAAAGTAATAAAAATGAGATTAAAAGCCTGCATCAAAAGATTCGTACTTGAATTAATTATGTACGTATATTTGCGTAAGAAATCAATGTCGAGGCATAAAATGGCAAAAATTAATTGCAGGATAACGCTCCCCGCATTCATTATTATCAGTACTTTCATTGTGGAGATTTTCAATCTGTATATTCAATAAAAAGTGAACCTAACCTAACTTAAAGTCGGTAAAACAGAACTACGGCAGCATTCCCTTAAACGTCAAAATGACGTCACTCGACGTCAAATGACGTCATTTTGACGTTTAATGATGTCAGTTTGCTACCTGGGGAACTGTAGCTAAAATTAACTGAAGCATATGCTTTTGTTAATTTTTTTCCACAAGATTTAATTAATTTGCGAAAAATCTTTTATTTTCAAACACTTATAACCTAATCTAACTTAATCTAATATAATCTAACTTGAAAATTATTGATGCCTGGATATTTTCGCCGAGAAAAAATCGTCTCCAAATGACGTCGGGAATCTATACTGTAAATCGGATTCACTGGATACAGGACACCCTATATATACGAAATTGTGTGACGAATTTATTTCACGGGTGACGCATATTTCGCAACATAAAAAGAGGGGATCAATGTATATCATATCTGGCGGTGGTTACGTGTAACTCAAAACGTTACATGTACGCGCCTCTGAATGATCGCGCAATCGGTTCTTTTTTTCTGTCATTTTTTTTCTCCTCGACGAGGATCGGACGTTGTTAATATAGTCAACTTAATGATCAATGAAGCATGTAACTACGACGAATTGTGAAAGTCACACGCATATCTTTCTTTTTTTTCTTTGAATGATTTGCGTCTATCGAGAACGTCATTTCCGTTGCTGCATGTTAATGCAATAATTGTAAGGGGCTTTTTATCACGTTATTGCGGCATGTAACGTACATCTTCGATTTCAACTGCGACTTATTTTGCGACGGAAAAAAATTAATGATAATCGAGGGCGAGTTGGCTTTTGCTAAATTGATTCTTCTTTCGAAAGAGAAAATCGAGTTGAGATTATCGAGTTGATGCGTACGCATATTATATATATACATATATATATATATATTTCCAGTCTGGAACATGTATATAAAATTCCGAGCTTCAGCCTTGCTTCTCCATGTCGCGTGCGAGATAAAGATTTAACGAATTATAATAAAATCAATGCCGGAAGTGAGAAATAAAAATGAAGAGCGTAACGTTCAGCAGTACTAGAGCGGTTTCGTAATGATGACAGTCCAATGTTGCGTGATTCGTCTAATGGAGTTGATGGTATAACGAAACTGCGCGATTAGAGTATAAAATAAAATTAAAAAAAGATGCGCATTAAATAGAAGAAATTTCGAGAGAATATCGCAATTTAATCAATAAAAGTGGCAATTTATAAAAATATTAAAATTACATTTGCACACAGCGCAGCATTAAAGTGGTTTCGTAATGACATCACGTGATTCATTTAATAGCATTAATATATAATAAAATCCTGCGCGATTAGAGATAAAATTAAAAACAATAAATACACACACACATACGTACATATGCATATATTAATTAGATTTTAGAAAATTTAATGAAAAAGGCGTCAGAGTGTTTATAAAAATATTAACATTTTTATAATTAATTAAATTATACATATAAATACACATAAAATATTATAATAAGATTTGATTAATTATTACTTACGTTATTTTTTAAATTAAAATTTGTCACAAAAATTTTTTCTTGCAACATAAGTTCAATGCAAACGGTGTCATATAAAAGCAACGTAATTACCGGATATAGCACATAAATTACGTACATTATCTCTACCCAATCAAAGTTTTATATCATAATGAGGTCAAAAGTTCATTTTCTGCTTCTGCGAAACTGTCGAAATTACGTTTGGATCATTTCTCAACAAAAATTTATAAATTGTCACGTATTCGTTATATATTGAAATTAAAACTACGAAGTGAACGAACATCTCATGTACTTTGCTTTCTTACTTGACAGAAAAAAATTGAATCTGCGAACGATGTTGAAAATATACCAGATTAAACTAGAAAAATCAGCAATTACTACTATGCAGATTTTCCGCTGGAACAAGGAAAACGTACCATTCGCATCGAATATCGGGCATTTATAGGTTTGCTTTTGATGCCACGTTTCGATCAAGAATATTAGAGATTATACATTTATAAAATTATAAATAAATATTTAAAAAAGAGGAAAAAAAAGGAGAGTGCACGATCGCGAAATTTTTGCGATTGATATATGACGTCGATGACATGAATTTTGCTGTTTATATGCATATTTCCTATTTATAGATATTCTATTTATTGAATTTATAAATCTAGAATTTTCTTCTAGAAAGTGTCATCATATCCGGAATGATTTTCGCTTCAATTTATATGAATTTCCAACAGTTTCGCTTTCAAAACAACCGTTCATAACCTCTATAATAATCGAACTTGTTCGATTTATGTTCCAAGAAAGGATCACGCGAGATGAAATCTCTTCTGGAAATGATTGCGCAAATCTGCGCGTTATTTATATTGCGGAAAAGCTCATTGACAGACATTGACAGACAGAATAAGCGAGTACAAAGTAGCAGAGTTGCAAATGCGTTGACGCTTGCAAGATGGGAGGGGATAAAGGATATCGTCACCCTATATATATGCGGTGACGATCGTTACTCCAACTTAATAGTTTACATACAACGAACGAAGCGAGGGAACCTTTAAAGAGATTAACTCTCTCCGGTACGTCGCCTGATTTTTTCTAAAAACGAATTCCTCGAATTTTCTCCTCCTCGGTGAGAATAAGAAGAATAAATTAAAAAAAAAAACAAGAGATGGGACACTCATTAATGGCGATCTGCGTCCTCGTGGCACTTATTGTGCTGGCGAGATTTATTCATGGACGTCCTGCGGTCGACGAGAGCGGGTAATTAACAAATTTATTATATTTTTGAAAATCCTTGAGAACAATTTTTTATATATAACAATATAAAATTATATAAAAATATATGAAATTGTGTACATATAATAGCAAAATTATATATGAAATATGTCCATACATAATTAGATAAAAGTGCTTTCTATATATAATTATATATATAATAAATATTTTTTTATATATATAAATATATATGTTTCATATATAATTTGACATAATTATATATATGAACCCTTATAATTTATATATAAATTTATATAATTATGTATAAAAATGAACATATTTCACATATAATTTTCTGATTATATGTATAATTATGCAATTATTTATATATAAAAATTTTTTTTTCGGGTCGCGATAAAACCGAAAAAAAATTTAATAATAGGTCGGTTTTTGTTTTGACCTCTTCTTCTTCCGTTTGAATTTTCTCCACGTCTCCGCATACGCACTTATTACGTCAGAACATTATTAGCCATATTTTAACCTTATTACATCATATTGACGATAACATCGGCCCATCTGGATATAAATATTATCAATTATATCACGACTCTTCGAAGAAAAAAATCGACATTTTTCCGATTTCTCAAATATCGAATATATCTCGTTATTTTTATAATTATTTTTATTTCACGATAGATTGAACTTGAGCATGTCAGAGTCACGTGCATCAAAGTTGGAAGATGTCTCGAGATTCCACGAGTTAAAAGCAATCTCGGCATCAATCTTCCACGGAAGCTCATCATTTCCGGCTAAATCGTAAGTCGCGAATTAATTAATTCAATTCGATGTTCGTGTTGTGGCGTTAAATTAAAATTCGTGGCTCTTTTTTTTGCAGAAGACAAAAACGAACGTCGGACCAGAGAATAGCCGAGCTGCAGACCCTTATGAGTTTGTATGCGAAGTACACCGGCAAACGATCGTTGAACGCGACGCATGAAAATTGGCAAAACATTCCGTTGGATCCAGAAAAAATGTAAGAAAAATTCAACAAAAAATATTTTAAAAATGATAAAAAATATTTTTAAAATATTTAAAAATTATAAAAAATATTTAAATAATATATGAAAAACTTTTGTTAGATATATATTATACAATATATTTTTACTTTAAAAATAACTTGTGTATATTTTTTTATAATTTTTTTTCTCTCTCCAACTCTCTTCTAATTATGATAATTAATAATTTTACAGCGGTCGAAGAAAACGTTTTGTGAACGAAATTCCAGCCGAATCGGTAGCCACCAGCCGTCTGATCGAAAAACCGAAACGCGACGGTGATCCTACATATCCTCTGGTTAGGTAAGTCGTTTCTCTTTCGATTATTAATATAATAATATTATCAGTGTTGTGCTTAAATAATTTTAAAATCAGCTAGATGAAGATGAGATGAAAATATGTAAATCCATCTTAAGATAAGACAAAGACGATTTTGCTTTAATTATATAAAAAATAAATATATAAATTAAATATATAAATAGATAAAAGATAAAATTATATAGCAACTCATCTAAATAATTCTATTTTTAAGATTGCTCATGTAAACACAGTTATAAAAAAATATAAATTATAAAAGAGATATAAAAGTCTTATTCATACTTTAATTTCTGTTTATGTGCTATAGCTCGAAAACCAAATTATCTGAACATTATTCTAGATAATTTAGTAAAGATAATACTTTTTTTTCATCCACGATGCAGATATAAATAATATACATATTTTTATTATTTATATAAAGATAAGATGATGCCAGATTTTCATCTAGATGACCATCTATATAATTTTATTTAATATTAGATAATTGCAAACACTGAGTATTATGCAAGTCGGATAAATCTTCGTCGTACAAAATTAATTCCGACGATGCAAAAAGATCGGCGGAAGAATAATATTTCAAGGGTACGAAAGAGCGCAGACGATAACATCTCTTTCGCGGGAACGCTTTTTACGCGTGCGTAAATCATCGCGTGCTTTCGATAAGTATGTATACGCAATTGCGTAGGTCATAAATTCGAGAAAGCGAGGAGAGTCGTCGAATGTCGAAACATTAAAATCTATGCTCTAAAAGTGACGCAAGGCTATCGCTGTATCAGCGCTAAAGTCTTGCGATAAGTCCTCGGCGGTTCGTTGGAACGTGCCATCTTGCCTTTTTATCGCGTCGTTGCGTCGCGACATTTCGCAATTATTTCGATTTACATCAAAAGAAGTAATCGACCCCGACGATTACGTTCGAAGATGTTAATGAACGGGGGAAAAAAATTTATACACATATGTATATATACACGCGAGCGTTTCGCATCGAGTCTGCTTATTTCCGACGATTTCCACTGCGCACGCGCGATTCATTGATAAGGATATAATCTCTGATATATGTCTTCAAATGAAAAATTATCCTCGTGTTGTGTGATATATAAATAATTTCGTTTTTTATTATGTATATATTTAATATATACAGCGTGTGTCTAAATAAGTGCGAAGAATTTTCGGAGATGATTCTTTATCGAAAATTAAGGAAGGTTTCTTATATATATATAACATTGGATTTTATATATCCCTTCCTAAGGAATTATACTTTTCTAAAGAGAGAGAATTTTTTTTTCAAATTGTAGACAAATTTAAAAAAATGAAATTTGGTGGATATATTTTTCACTAATAAGAAATATTAAAAAAAGAGTACCTATATATGTTTATATACCTCCCTTAATAGAATCATCTAAAATTTTTTGCACTTATTTAAATACACCTTGTATATACAAAATATCATTCTTCAAATTTTATGTATATATATCTTTTTAAAATTTTATACATATATCTTCTTTAATTTTATATATATATTTTAAAAATTTTATATATAATTAAAAAGTTATATATAAAATTTTAATGTATATATATATACATTAACTTATATTTTAATCGAATAATATTTTTAATACATATCGCGCGCAAAACTTAAAAAGGAGTCAAATTCTGAAAAAACCTAGTTTTTAGCTTCGGAGAAAAAATTGATTATATTGCTAATTCATATATTTTTGTCGAAAAAAAATGTAATTCTTTTTATTTTTTGTTTTTAGTTGAGTAAACCGCTCTGATGTCCGAAGAAAGCGTGCATTTTTTCACAAGGGATGAGCCTGGCATATTCGAAGAACAATCTTTGAACATTGCATCGTTTCGACACCGCTTAGGAATCAATCGCGGAATTATGGAAATAGAAACGAAGATTTAAAATCATATTAAAGCGTTAATTATGATCGTGAGAAGAATACTCGGACAGTTCCATATATGTATTAGATTCGTTCTCACAAATCATCGAGATTAATGAGTACATTTTTTGAATGTATATTCGCATATCTTTAAAATATGTAAAGAAATATATACATTTTTTTTTTAATCTGGCTTTAAAATTTTAGGGGATATATAGCGACTATTTACATTTTAATTATGACTAAATTACTAATAAATACTTAATAAAGATCGAATACTATAATAAAATTGTATCCACAAAAAATTCTTAATCAAATTAAATTAGATTAGAATTTTTAATAATCATGCAGAGTTACATGTAATTTTTTAACAAATTATATTAAAACGTTTGATAAAAGTTTTTATTATATTAGTTAAGTCTCTTTACTTAACAAATCATTGATTATTTTAACTAATAATCGAAAATTGCAAATGTATTCACCTCTTTAGAATGTAAAGGAATATATATATATTTTTTTGAAAATCTTTGAAATGTAAGAGAATATATAGATTATTTATCTTTTTATATAGATTAGACATTTTTAATAAACAAAATTATTGTATGTAGTTTTGACAAATGATATTATAATAAATTATTTGATAAAAAAATTTGTATTTTTTATATATATATATATTAATCTTTACCTTAAACAATAAATTTAACTAATAATCGAAAATTAACCATAATTATGAATTTTTAGAAAAGTCGCAAAATATTTATTATTAATGGCACTAAGTCACCACACAAGTCAATTATATTTGTATCATTTTTATTGCCCCTTTCCCACACAGCACATGATATTATTAGAATATTCTATATGTATACTGTGAATATACGTACAGTATACAGGGTGTCCAATAATTGTCGCCTCAACCATCGTGTGCAGGTAAAGTGAGTTAAACCGAATAGGAAAGTCCTCTACCGTTTTGCGATTTTCGCAATAATTATTGAATTATTAAATAAAAAAAATCGGCCAATCCACGCGAATAGAAGCGCGCGACGAGAAGAGACGTCCTACTGTAACACGATACACGGCGCGCCGCAAAGCGGAAGGAGGAGCGAACGATGACTGTCTACGAATCGTGTTTGAAAAATCTTCGTGTATCGTGTTACAGTAGAACGTCCCTTCTCGTCGCGCGCTTCTATTCGCGTGGATTGACCGATCTTTCTTATTTAATAATTCAATAATTATTACGTAAATCGCAAAACGGTAGAGGACTTCCCTATTTGGTTTAACTTACTTTACCTGCACACGACGATTGAGGCGACAATTACCGGACACCCTGTATAATATACTGAGAACATCTCTATAATGTCTCATGTGGTACATTATTTTTCGTATATTGTTAGAATATACTTATAATATCTTTAGCAGTATATTATTTAGTTATATCATTTTTCGTATATTGTCGAATATTCTCAGAACATACGTTAACATTTCTAACGGTATTATGATTTTCTGTATATTTCCGTATATTCTTAGAACATACTTTTGAGTTACGTACAGAATGTATAGCAAAATAGCAACGCCATCTTAGATACATGTAACTTCCGATCTTACCGTCTTTTGTCAATACTGGTCGATAGTGGCTTGGCCATCGGCCATTTTCGTTTTCTGAGTTGTGTGCTAATGTACGACAAGATCAAACCTACGCAACGATTTTAATTTAAAGTAAGTAAGTCGATCCTTTTTCTTTGTAAAATTTATATCATTTAATTTTGTTAATGCTTTACAACTCTGTTAGTCTCCCTTATTTCTGAATTGTGTAGTGGCTTGATACATTTTAGATGAATGAGATTATTCGATCATTATATGCCCAGCAAACACAGTATATAAATGTTATATACTTAAGCATGTTACATGTAACGTATATGTTAGTTGTAATTTCCCACTCATAGATGTAACATTTTTAATATTACATATATTACATTGTAGTAGTTATATTGTCATTATATCCCAAGATAGCACTGACTTATCAATATATCAATGTGCTATTTGGTATATAATTACAATATAACTACAATGTAATATATGTTATATTAAAATGTTACATCTATGAGTAGGAAATTACAACTAACATGGATGTTACATGTAACGTACACGTTATATTACCTGTTATATTCCGTTTTATTATAGCAATGTAACAATTATATATCGGTATTTGCTGGGTGCTTACATGATTACATGCTTCATACATGTACTAGCACTGCAATGTATCTAATAAATATGTACCCCAAGACGCTATGCAATTCAATTAGAAGAATACATAATACATTTATAAAGTATTAGCGAAGATACTTCTACATATATATGTGATACATGTAAAGTTTGCTATCTTTTTATATTATGTATTTTTATATAATTTTATAGTATGTATTACATCAATCTAATCTTTATAAACATATTGTATTCGCTCTTTCTTGATTGCATTGTGTAATGACTTATTAGCACAGCTTTTGATATACTACAGTATCAGAGCATATATGGAGAACTTATATTTGTGTTACGCAATACAAATATAAATGCTCTATATTTGTGTTGACACTGTAATGTATCGAAAGCTGTGTTAATAAGTCACTACACAATGCAATCAAGAGAGAACAGACACAGAGTATACAGTTTTGTCACTAATCATTTATCGAAGACATGTATACATATTTATTTTTTGTAATTTTTTAATTTAAATTAAATTACAATTAAAGAATTTGTTTTATTTCTTAATAACTAAAAACTAATAATTTAACAAATTTTTCAGCTACAGTAAGAAGATTGCATACAAATGCAACGGACCAGGAAATTTCGGCGCCAATAAAAATATGGCTAGCTCATGCAAGAACGAATGCAAAAGCGATCAGCTCAGATGAGTAGACAGGATCAAACTGAAAGTGAACAGACTTAATTTATTTCTATCATATAACGATGTATATGTATACACGCACTAGCGGATCCTGACATCGATAATGAGGGAGTTTTGACGAAAATGCTTGGTTATATATCATACTTTCACAGTTAAATCTTTTTTTTTTCACTCTTAGCATCTTCTTAAACTCAGTTACAATAGAAATGGGTGCCATGTTTTTTTAACGCAAGTACATCAAATATTTTTATTTAGATTAATTTAGCGTCTAGCATTTAATGCTTTATATATGACTGTTAAAGATTTAAAACCGATGCACATGCAATGTAAAGCATCATGCTTCTTTGGGAACTTGAATGCGTCGCATAAACGAAATATAGTTGCACGTAGTAGAATTCTGGAAAATTAACGTGTAATTGCGGCTACGCTTAACAATGCAAATTTTGTGTCGTTTTGTATTATTACTAATATGAAGAAGTTCAAAGTTTATTTTTTGCGTTTTAGTACATAACACACATATTTTGCAAACAATTTTTAGATACAGCGTCTGTGGGAAGACAATACAAAATGTTTTGTGTTAGTAAAACAGTGCAATTTTATTACATCTAAAATATATAAAGAAAAATAAATAAAATATTTGCACTTATATATACATTTTTGTTTTATATTTTCTATTAAAATATTTTGTAGTACATGCGTTTTTTAATTTTTTCTATTTATTGATTTCTTAATTATTTTTTATCAGCAGTGCCAAAGAAACGAAAAATTCACAACGTAGTAGAAGATTATTTAGAAAAATCTTTAGAAATAAAAGCAGAAAAAGAGATAAATGCTAAAAAAGACATGAAGGAAAAAATGACTCGTCTAACAAGTATTGAAAATTTAATAACAGAAATACTTAAAAAGTAATAACTCTTATATAATTAATATTTTATTGGTTCTTATAAAAATATATAAGACTGTTATGTATTCTCAAAATATATAAGACTGTTATGTGCATATAAGACTGTTATGTCACTTTCAGGTAAAATTATGATAAGAGTTTAATTTTATTTTAAATAATGTAAGAAAAACTGTAATAGTTTCTTTAATAAAGTTTATTATACATACAAATAAATTATATATGTAAATTAATTGTGTATGTGGCTAGATCCCGTAAAGTATTTATGCGTGCATTTATCTATAGTACATGTATTGTAAAAGCTCTAGTACTATTTAAAAGTAATAGGAATAGGATCACGGAAAGAACGTAGGAAAGTACTCTCTTGCTTTCCTATGTTATTCCTTGTTCCTGTTATTTTTTATTGTGCAAAAGCTTTTTACTCAGCTTCCTTATGATTGTATGCGTGTGTGTGTAAATATATACATAATCTTATCTATTTTTTAATTGTATATTATATGGTATGAGGATCTAAAAATATAAAGATAATATAAGAAAGAAAATGTTTTATAATTTCATACATCTTTATTCAAAATAATTTTCATTTTGCAAATGATATACAATAGTGTTACGTTTCTCAATACCTTCTTCTCGTATTGAGGTATATTTTTGATTTCATATTGTATAGGTTCATTTGGCTCTACAATAATTGGAATATCATCAATGTTATTATTTCGTATTAAGCAAATATTATGTAAAACACAACAGGCACAAATATATTTAGGTATCAAATCAGTTCTTCTGATAGGTAATATATCCAAAAGAAATCTTCCTTTTAACAAGCCTATTGTTCTTTCTACCATCATTCTCGCTTCAGACAAACAAGTATTATATTTTACTTGTGCATCTGTTAAATGTCCGTTATCTTTAAACGGAACTATTATATATTTTTGGATGCTATATGTGGCATCACCTAATAAATGGCTATCTGGGAAGTTTTCTACAGTACACATGTCTTCAAAGCCAGATAATCTAAAAACTCTCATGTCATGCATTGACCCTACTTGTCCTGCATAAACATGAGTGATTTTTAATTCATTATCACATATTATCTAACAAAAGAGGAGATAATATTATTATTACATATGTCTGTAGAATTTTTATTTATAAAAAATATAATTTAACATTTTTACAAAAATGCCTGTGTCTGTATAGAGTGATAGCCTTTTCTATTTATGTAAACTTCTAGATGTAATTTCGGTGCTGCAATTTTTATATGAGTACCGTCTATCGCTTCTATCACTTTTGGAAACTTGTATTTGTTTTTAACATGTGTCCAAATATTTTCTGCTCTTGCTCTGTCTGGCCATGTAATGAATGTATGAAGATGTGAATATAATGCATTCACAACTTTGTGAACACATCTCCAAGCCGTTGTTTTTCCGACATCGAATCGATCAGCAACACATCTATAGAGTTAATAAATAAATGCTAAATATTAATATAAATTATAAATGTTATAAATTAAATACTAATGTCATTCAATAAAACTTACCTATACGAATTGAGAGTTGCTATCATCCATATTGCCAAGAATAATGTCTTCTCTGGTGAAATAGTATGCCTCCCACATCCTTCAGACTGTTTCAATAATTGTGGAGTTAACAGCTCCAATAAAAAAGTAAATGTTGGTCGACTAAGGCTATGGAAAAACATTAAAATATAACATTTTCTATTTAAATGAAACGTTATATAGTTTATTATTAATTATTACTTGTTATTATTAATTAATAAAAAACATAGTAAAAATATTTTATCTATTGTTTATTGCATAAATTAATAATAAGCAATTAATAATAATTTATTTTTATTAAATAAATAATTTACCGAAAATTGCTTTTAAAAGCATTGCCAGTATAATGCCACACTACATTTTTAACATAATTTTGGCACCGTACTTTTAGGTACACGTTTCACATTATTTTTCACTAATAAATTTAATACTTCTGCCGAATCTGAATCATCGTTTGATGATTCATCAGATTCATCTATTAAATTTATATATGTTGCAATCAAAAATATTTTTGTTGATAGCATGCTTTTATGACGTCACGCTCACGGCACTGGCAGTGAATTTTGGAACATACCCTTTGTTCTATATTCAACTACATACCTGTATAGTATAATAAAAAGAATAGAATGATGTTCACAGCATTCAAAGCGTGCTACTCGACCACAGGCTATATTAGCAAAAATTCAAATTTGAATTTTTACTTATAAATAATGCGAAAAAATAGAAATAGAGTCTTTACGGTAACATCGATATAATTCATAGTATATAATTTCAAGAATATAAGTATATTCATAGAATGTCTTGAGTATGTTATCAGTATCTTATATATATAAACTAATAACATACTCAAGATATTTTACAAATATATTGAGTATATACGAAAAAATATTGTCAGTATGTACTGAAAAGCAGAAAACTCGGACATAGACGTATTCTTAGTACGTACTCAGGATATCGCAGTACGTATATCGAACGTTCTCAGAATATACGTAATATACTTCTCTGAAATTCTCAGAACATTCTCAGAATATACTTGTGCTGTGTGAGTTACTTTGTGTCGATAATTAAAATTGATTTTTCTAACTCGACAATAAATTAAAAAAAAATAAAGACAGGGAGCAGAGAGAGATAAAAATACCCATACAGCACCGAAAGATTGCAAAAACATTACAACAATCTTTCACCGCAATATTGCAATATTGCAAATTCACTGCAAAATGTTGCTACATCATTGCTGTTGAATTGCAGCAATGTTAAAATGTCCGCTTTTGGAAGATTGCAACAAAATATTACAACAATATTGCAATATGTTATGAGTTTGCAATAATGCTTGTTATTGCAACCATAAACTAATGTTGCATATACAGGTATATAAATGTAAATAAATCATTAATGAAAATACGTTGTAGTTCATTTATATATTACAATATATAAATTATAGAATTTGGATTACATGCAATATTTCCGAAATATTAATGTCATGTTGCTACAAGTGTGCTGGAATTTTGTGCACTTATATCTCTGCAATGTCTTTATAATGTTGCATTGCAACTTGCAACATTGCAACGTTGCTGCAATATAATTGCAATAATCTGTGCTGTATGGGTATAAAGAGAAAAATAATTAAAATATGTATCTATAAAAATGTATACTTATATATGCAGAGCATAATTAAAATGATAAAAAAACTTACATTCGTGTTTCTATTAATAATTATATTATCGGACACACACACAGACACACAGAAATAAATTAATTTTACATATACGTTAACTTACCTTCGAGACATAAAAACCGCGCTGTATTTTATTTTATATCCTACCGACACAGAATAAATATCGACGACAAAAATACCTCTATTCCTTACTCTATCCCAAACAACACGTTTATAATTAACACATTTCTCAACTCATCCGCGACACAAATTCAACAGACTATAAAAAAAGGGAAAAACCACGCACTCGAGTATAGATATGTAAATCGCGGTATGTATATATATATATATATATATATATATATATATCGCGATATATATCAATCTCGATGACTTGAAGTTTGCGCAAAATAATGGCCACCATCTTGGATCCTTTGTCGCGACCGCGATTTACATATCTATACTCGAGTGCGTGGTTTTTTCCTTTTTTTAGTCTGTTGAATTTGTTTCACGGATATATATATATCCCAGCAAACACAGTATATAAATGTTATATACTCAAGCATGTTACATGTAACGTATATGTTAGTTGTAATTTCCCACTCATAGATGTAACATTTTTAATATTACATATATTACATTGTAGTTATATTGTCATTATATCCCAAGATAGCACTGACTTATCAATACATCAATGTGCTATTTGGTATATAATTACAATATAACTACAATGTACAATAATATATGTTATATTAAAATGTTATCTATGAGTGGGAAATTACAACTAACATGGATGTTACATGTAACGTACACGTTATATTACCTGTTATATTCCGTTTTATTATAGCAATGTAACAATTATATATCGGTGTTTGCTGGGATATATCGATATATACCCCTACACCACGAAATATTAACGGAATATTGCAAAAATATTGTTTTGCAAGATTGAAATATTGCATGCAATATTCCTGAAAGCTTGCCAATATATAGATATGTCCGCCCTCAAACTATATTGTGCAACATTTCTGCAATGATACTGATTTATTTCTACAAAGATGAATATAATATTTATAAACTATTGCAGAATATTTATTTTTTTCATTTATTTGTCTGATTTCTGAGCAATCAATTTAATATTTGAGTTCCCTGTATTAGGATCGTATCAGAAAAAATTAATTTGATTAAAAGTATTGATTGTAATTGCTACTTTTTGCATGCTTTATACAGGGTGTCCGGTAACTAACAGACCAATGATTAAGGGCGGATTCTCTGGCCAATTTGGAGACGATTTTTCCTTAGCAAAAATGTTGAGAAGTCAATGATTTTCGAGTTATAAGTGATTGAAAAAAATGGGTTTTTTGAAAACTAAACGTTTTGGAGTTAAAAGTCTAACATAATTACATTCTTCAATTAATTTCAGGTAGAGTTTACTATAATAAAATTTTAATTTAAGGCTGTTATAAAGATACATAATGACAAATATTGGAAAGTTGTAAAAAATGATGACCTTTTTCGACGTTTTCGCTGAGGAAAAATCGTTCTCAAATTGACCAAAGAATCCATTTGTAATCGTTGGTCCGTTAGTTACCGGACACCCTGTATAATTCTCGGGACTAAAACTTAATGCAAGTTAGATCCCAGCAAACACCGATATATAATTAATTGTTACATTGCTATAATAAAACGGAATATAACAGGTAATATAACGTGTACGTTACATGTAACATCCATGTTAGTTGTAATTTCCCATATTTTTATTATAGTAAACTCTACCTGAAATTAATTGAAGAATGTAATTATGTTAGACTTTTAACTCCAAAACGTTTAGTTTTCAAAAAACCCATTTTTTTCAATCACTTATAACTCGAAAATCATTGACTTCTCAACATTTTTGCTAAGGAAAAATCGTTCCCAAATTGACCAAAGAATCCATTTGTAATCGTTGGTTCGTTAGTTACCGGACACCCTGTATAATTCTCGGGACTAAAACTTAATGCAAGTTAGATCCCAGCAAACACCGATATATAATTAATTGTTACATTGCTATAATAAAACGGAATATAACAGGTAATATAACGTGTACGTTACATGTAACATCCATGTTAGTTGTAATTTCCCACTCGAATCATAGATATGTAACATTTTAATATAACATATATTATTGTACATTGTAGTTATATTGTAATTATATACCAAATAGCACATTGATGTATTGATAAGTCAGTGCTATTTTAGGATATAATGACAATATAACTACAATGTAATATATGTAATATTAAAAATGTTACATCTATGAGTGGGGAAATTACAACTAACATATACGTTACATGTAACATGCTTGAATATATAACATTTATATACTGTGTTTGCTGGAATAGTTCAGCTTGCGGCGCATAGTGGTAAATGAAAGAACTATATGATTGCATTATAATATATCAATAATATTTCGCAATGTCTCCAATAATAAAATAATAACTTATTATATTTGCACAATATTAAATTGCTGCAATATTTGTAATATGACGCAATATTGAAATATTTATACAATATTTAGTAATATCAGAAGAGAAATAAGTCTCTGGTAATATTTCGTGCTGCAGGGGTATCGATATATACATATATATCGATACATCGACTCCTCGCGCCATCGATCGAGCCGAGTGCGAAACGGAGCGAGGCGTGACGTGATGAAACGAGACGAGCCAGCGTAGTGGTGGGAGGTGGAGCCGAGGCGAATGCTCGCGCGAGGCTCCGCTAGAGTAGAGTGGCGCAATGATAGCCGTTGGTGATATTACGACCGCTGCTGATGCCCGTGGATTTTAAGGAAGGAAGACAGGCGGGATAGATTCGTGCGCGCGCGAGACGGAAGATGCATCAGTGCCGGAGCCCTCGGACTCTAGGCTCGCTCTTGGTGGCCGACAGGCCGAGAGCAACAACCGGACTGAGACAAGCGCGAGGATACGATCGGGCGGTTTAGTAAGCTGGCTATCGAACGTCGGGACAGACGGAGAAAGAGAAAGAGAGAGAGAGAGAGAGGGGCATCCGATGAAAGCGGAACGGTCCGCGCTCCTCCTCGAGAAATGAAACTGATCGACGTCTCATCCTCCTGCGAACGATGCTCCTCCTTGGAAATTTCGTGAACTCTCAGCCACGGGTGGTCCCTCGTCTTCGCGGATAAAGCGCGCGTGTGTGTGTGTGTGTGTGTGTATGTGTGTGTACATGCGTGTGTGTGTGCGCGGGTGATTTTTTTTCTTTCTTTTTTTTTTTCAATTTTCTTTATTCTCCTCTCGAGAGCATCGGTGCGAGGAAATGTTCTCGTCGCCGGCGTCGGTGGTGGGTCAGGAGCCGCCTGGCTACGATTTTCAGAAGGAGGAAAACGCCGCCAAATGGAAGGGGGTGTTTGTCAACTCCCTGCGCAAGGTACATATCGTTGTTGCACGACTCCACTTCTGTGTTCCGAGCCTCACTCCGATGATTTTCTTGTCTCTCCCTCCCTTTCTTCTTCTTTCGCTCCGTGTCCTTCTTGTATTTTGCTTCCCAGGGAGCCACAGGAATTATTGACGTCACTTTGACGTCGAAATGCGTCATTTTGACGTCAAAGTGACGTCGATAATTATTTATATATTTATTATTTATTTTCATGCCGAATTTCATGTCAAAATGACATAACTCATAATTTTGCCGTCAAAATGATATGTCATAATCATTCCCGTGGCTCAAACACAATAAGAATACAGGAGAAAGAGCCGCAGGAATTATTGAGACCTCATTTTGACGTCGAAACACGTCAAAATCACGTCAAAATGACGTAAATTTCGCGTGAAAGTGCGTCGTTTCGCCGTCAAAATGACGCAATCGACGTCAAAACCCACCACTTTTTGCTCTATCTGGGTTTCTTATTGTCTTCTACTGTCCCCTCCTCCGGTTCATCCCCACCTTTTTTTTTTTTTTCTATATTTTTCCTTTTTTTTGTTCGCTCGAACGCTCGATCATTTTTCGTTCCAATGATTTTACGTCGGGGCTGGATCGATCAATGACACCGACCGACGTCATCGGTGCTGCGTGCGTGACCATATGACTTTTTTTTTCAATTACGCTCTGTACTTGTCGGTTGTCAAATCTGACAGCTGTGCAAATCGAATAGATGTTTTATGAATATTATACTTGTCAAAAATTGTCGCTCGACACGAGTATTCAAATTTATTGTTACTTAAGAAGAACAGAGAAAGTCCAAATGATGTCAATTTGACGTCATATTGACCAAATTTGAACATCAATTGGATATAAACTTGATCAACGTAACGTCAAATTGACATATTAGACTTATTTGTTTTCCTGGGATGATTTTATAATATAAGCATACATATACTATTTGTTTTATCTTTTTTTCTTGGCCAACGACAATTACCGGATCTGATATACGGTATATAGTTATTTTGTTGATTTGATTGCCAAAGAAAATTGTTAATTTTGTAGGTACTAGAGCAAGTACATCCTAGTCTCGAAGCTCGACAAGATGCATTAGATTATGTGGAGAGTTTAATTTTAAGAATGCTAGGCATGCTTTGTGGACACCCACCTCCTCAAACCCCTCAAGATGTAGAGGAAAGAGTAAGACGAACATTTCCTACTCCCATTGACAGATGGGCGCTGCGTGATGCAAAAGACGCATTAGAGAAAGGAAAGAAAAAGTCTCCGTTAGTGCTACCTGTCGACAAGATTCATCAGTTACTGCAAAAAGTAAATATCCGCATGTATACAACAATCAATTTACTTAAATTATACAGATTTTACAAAGTGTCTCAATTGTCTGTGATTTCTTTTTTCCACAGGAAGTATTACAGCACAAAATTGATTCGCAAGTCAGCTTATTTGTAGTTGGAGTTTTGGAATATATTTCTGCTGATATTCTGAAGGTATGTGCGATCCATTCAATTAAATTGTTTTAAATCTGTACTATCTTTTTTTTTAATTTATTCGATACTGTTAAATGAAATGTATAAAATTGTCTCTTACCTTTACAGCTAGCTGGAAATTATGTGAAGAACATTCGCCATGTAGAGATTTCGTGCGAAGATATACGAGTTGCAATGTACGCGGATATGGTAAGACATTGTTCGTGGAAACGTAGAATCTGTATTGTATCTCTGTATTGCACCTTAATTCGATCATCGTACACTCTCTTTATCATATTTTGTCATTTACATTTTTTTTTACAATTGATTCGAGTATATCCACGTACATTTGAACCAGTAAAATGTATCTGTATGTATGTTGATATACTCTATAATTGTGATATTAATAATGTAGTTTATATTGTGTAATACTTTATAATTCGATTCAGTTTTTGTTTACGAAATATTTTTATGTACAATGATATATTGTATACTCGATTAAAAAAAGCAATACATAGAAAAATTGAAAAAATTGCTACAATTTTTTCTATTTTACTTCCTCATAGAGGAAGCTTTGTTTTTCTATTATACTGCTTTTTTTTTTATCAAGTATTATATAGAGCTTATATAGAAATTTGTTAATATACGAATGGTATTACATCATGCATAAACTAGAAAGTAAATGCAGTAGAAAAATATGATACCTTTGCTAGTGGCTTACTTCTTGTTTACAGATCCAAGTTTTCTTTGTTTATATTATTTAATTTATTTGAGAATTTATTAAGTCTTTTTCTATTATATTAATTTAACGAGTGCAAATTAATTTGAGAAGTGCTAAATTTCTTTGTAATCTGTAACTCGAAGCATCTGCTACTAGCAACAGGTAAAATAATGAATTTCATAATTGGCTACATTAGGTTAATTGTGGCTGCATATATTCTATGCTTGATTACATGCTTTCCACTAATATATAACAACTCCAACCATGTTCATTCTTCGCTCATGCTGTTCTAGGTGGTACGTACTCGTGATTGCACAGAAAAAATTTGAAATATCACGATTTAGTATCTTTCGATTATTTTTACAAAAGTTGCATTTATATTTGACATTTATTCCTAAATTTTTATTCTTTTACTTTTTACTATTCAATAAATATTTTCTTTATATATAATATTTATTATCCGTTAACAAATTTTTAAATATATTTAATACATTTATTTTATATATTTAATATATTTTATATAACTCATTTTTTTCTTTAAAGAATTGCTTATTAGAATATTTTTCTTGTGCAGTATTTATAAATTATTTGTACTAACATTTTTATATCAACAATAATGTTACAAGTTAGAAAGTAAAATTCTTAACATAAATTTTTAATTTTTTTACTACAATTTTTTCTTTTCTTTTTAACTGTAAAAACTGTATAAATCTAGCAAATTGCATAACTCACTTTGCAAAGCATATTTCTCTGTTACTTATGTACAGTTTAATATAAATAACAAATGCAATATAATATATATAATTACTGTTTTACGCTACATTATACTAATGCATTTAATAATATGCGAATTGTAGGTCGACAGAATGTCATAGTAACTTAATGGTGCATCTAAATAATAGTTTCTTTTAATTTTACTTTTAATCTTACTTAAATCTTTAATCTTGCATGCTGATATGGGATGCATTAAATTTTATTCATCAATGAAAAGTTTATCAACCAACTCTGATTATTATTAATTATTTCTTTTCTTTTTAATATAAATGTTTAAAGATATAAAAAAAGTCAGAGATTATTATTTCTAATATGATGTGTAATTGATCGATAGGTACTAATGGATATGTTTCATCAAGACGATTGTACAGAGGGTCCACAAAGTAGCTTAGGTGCAGTTGTTTCGCAGACTTATGAAGAATCTATGCGGGATCTCATTCACGATGAACGTCATTACATTCGTGACCTACATATGATTATCAAGGTAATATGTAAAAAAATATTATTGGAATATTTAAACCTTAATTATATATATATATATATATATATATATATATATTAAATAAAATTAGTTTACGTTATGTAAATAATTAAATTAATAATTTAATCATTAAATTAAATTAGTTCGTGCATTATTTTATTTTATTTTTATTTTTAGGTATTTCGTGAAGAAATTACGAAGTTGACACAAGATAAGAGTGAACTCGAAACGCTTTTCAGTAATATTACAGATATTTATGAGATTACTGTGACATTACTCGGCAGTTTAGAAGATACAATGGAAATTGCAGAGGAGAAACAAACACCTACAGTTGGTACATGCTTTGAAGAATTAGCAGAGGCGGCAGAATTCGATGTTTATATAAAGTGTGTATCACTTATGTTATGGCGCGATATGTCATGTGTATACAAATTTTTTGTTAATTATATTTGCATCTTTCTAGATACGCGAGAGATATTAATAGTCCCGCTAGTCGGGAAGTTTTAACGAATTTATTATCAAGACCAGAAGCTAACGCGGCTCTGCGAGCAGCAGGCCACGGTTTTAGAGAAGCTGTTAAATATTATTTGCCAAAACTTTTATTACAACCCATATGGCATTGTTTCCTGTATTTCGATTATATAAAGGTATTATAATTTACTTATTAATATTACACAGAATTATTTAAGCTTATTTTTGTAACAATCTTACAATCATTATTGAGTAATAGCTAGTTAATTAGTTAAAATTTAAGTTCATAATTTTAATTTAACTTAGTTAATTTAAAATGAATTACTTTTTAACTTAAACTTATTTTTAACTTATTAACTTTTAAAATTTTAAGTTAAAAATTTTTTTTATCTCTGAATACCACTTTTTTCTATAAAATGTTAAGCATTGGTCAATTAAATTTTCAATAACGATTAAAGTGTAATAAGAGCATCATTCTATAATGTATGTCATTTTTTTTATAATTGTAATTACAAAGAAAAAATACATTCATCCTATATAAAAACAAATTTTTTTTTCGTTATTCGTTATTTTATATAATTTTAAAAATTAAATAAAATATTAAAATATAAAATATTAACTAAGTTAATGTTATATGCTATTAACTTTTAACTTAATTTAGTTTTAAAAAATCCTGCTTACAATACTTACTATATCTTTCAAATATAGGTTTTACACAAACGCACACCTAACACAGAAGATGGCGAAACGTTGGAACAAGTACAAGGTTTGTTAAGACCACTACAAATGGAATTGATGCAATCTGCAAGTCTTCCAAAAAAGGATACGGGCTTGCCAATGCAGAGCAGAGCGAGGAGGCAGGCGGCATTAGAAAAGATTAGCGAATTACAAAAGACTGTAGATGGTTGGGATCAAAGAGATATCGGGCAGTGTTGCAATGAGTTTATTCGAGGTAATAAAGAGGAACATCTTTTTAATATATACTTCTTGATATTCAATTCATCACCTTCAGCCCTTAATGTTTATATATTGCTAATTTTGTATTATAGAGGATACGTTGGGAAAAATGGCTAGTAATGGACGAAGATTAACTGAGAGAAAAGCCTTATTATTCGATGGATTGCTAGTATTGTGTAAACCAAGTAGTAGTAAAAGAGTTAGTGTTACTGTTGCAGCGGGTATTGTTGCAGTTGGAGTAGGTGGGCATCCGACTCACCAAGGTGAACTCCGACTGAAAGAAAGATTTTTCATTAGAAAAGTTGATATTATTGATAGAGAAGATACCGAAGGTAAAGAAATGTGCATCTAAATTTTACTGCAATTTTTTTGCATAAAATATACAAATGCATTTTCTTTTTATATATATATATATATATATATTATTACAGAGTTAAAAAATGCTTTTGAGATTGCACCGAGAGATCATCCTAATGTTATTCTTGTTGCCAAATCTGTGGAGGACAAGAATAATTGGATGGCGGATCTAGTAATGTTAAATACAAAGAGTATGTTAGAAAGGACTTTGGATAGTATTCTTTTGGATGAAGAAAGGAAGCATCCATTAAGGCTACCTCCAGCTCACTTGTATAAATTTGCCGAACAAGATAGTAAGGAGAACATTGTTCTAGAAGCCAGAGAAAATGGTGGTGTTCCATTGATTAAGGGTGCAACTTTGATAAAATTAGTAGAGAGATTAACTTATCATATATATGCTGATCCAGCTTTTGTAAGAACATTCCTTACTACTTACAGGTAAAGAAACATTGTTTTATTATACCAATTCTCTAATATATATAACAAATTGCTAATTTTTTAACAATTATTTTGCAGAAGTTTTTGCTCACCTCAAGAATTATTAACGTTGCTGATAGAAAGGTTTGATATACCAGATCCTTCGTTAGTCTATGGTGAAGAAGAAACACCCTCTGTATGTAAAACGACGGCGCGAGAAGATTGGAAAAGATACAGAAAAGAATTCTGTCAACCGGTGCAGTTTAGAGTTCTAAATGTTTTAAGACATTGGGTTAGTAACATATATTTTTTTTACATTCTGGACGAATTCCACGCAATTCTTAAAACGTTATCTTTTTTTCTCAATTTTTTCCTTTAGGTGGATCATCATTTTTATGATTTCGAACGCGATCGAAATCTTTTGGAAAGATTGCAATCGTTTTTAGATACTGTTAGTGGCAAGTCTATGCGAAAGTGGGTTGATTCAGTGCTGAAAGTTGTACAAAGAAAGTGCGAACCATCAGAACAACGACCTATCACGTTTAGTTTCGAACGATCTCCTCCGCCGATTGAATCGCATCTTAAAATTCCGGAAAATAATGAAGAATATGGAATACTTACGGTATATATATATATATATATTATATACAGAGTGTTCCATAGGAAGCTAATCAGCTATGGTTTTTTAACGCATGTAGTTATTGAAAAAACAAAAATTGTGTTGAAAAGAGGAAAGTCTACAGTTTTTAATGGATATAAATAAAATGTATATTAGTTTATTTTATTGAAAAAAAAGTAATGAAAAAATGCGAATAATCACATGTAAACTAATGATAAATATTTTCGAAGTGCGCATCATTTTAATTTGTACAAAATTCTGTTCTTTTACGAAAACTCATAAAAATTGTCTTCTAACATGTCATTTTTAATATTATTTGCAATCCTTTTAACTGCTATTAAATCTGGCACTGTTGAAAATATTTATCATTAGTTTATGTGATTTTATGTGATTATTAGCACTTTTCATTATTTTTTATCAATAAAATAAACTAGTATACAAATATTTTATTTATATCCATTAAAAACTGCAGATTTTCCTCTTTCCAACACAATTTTTGTTTTCTCAATAACTGCATACATTAAAAAATGACAGCTGATTAGTTAGTTTCAGCAATTTCTTATAGGACATCCTATATATATATATATATATATATATATATATATATATATATATATATAAGATTATGTCATCTTTCAACTATGTTATTTCAGGAAGTATTAGTCACTCAATTACTTATACTGAGAAATAACTTGTCAATTACAGATACATCCTATCGAATTAGCAAGACAATTGACACTATTGGAGTTTGAATTGTACAGAGTAGTGAAACCTTCTGAATTAGTTGGGTCTGTATGGACAAAGAAAGACAAGGAGAAGACGTCACCAAATTTAATGAAAATGATTAAACACACGACGAATGTAAGTTTTTTTTGTGGTTTAACAAAAGATGGGAAATGTAGCATCACTAAAGCTTGAGTTTTATAGTTTACAAGATGGCTCGAGAAAACGATAGTGGAGGCTCAAAATTATGACGAGAGAGTAGCCATCGTATCACGCGCCATTGAAATAATGATGGTGCTGCAGGATCTCAACAATTTCAATGGTGTTCTGGCGATTGTTAGCGCTATGGGATCAGCATCAGTTTTTAGGCTAAAATTCACCTTTCAAGTATGTATCATGTACAAAAAATTATATATGTTGAGAGTGTTGAAAAAAAAGGTAAAATATTTTAAGAGGATTTCATATATCTCAAAATAAGTTAAAAATTGGTCTTTAAATGAGCCTTTTTTGCATATTTACAATATCTCACAATTAAAAAAATAATATTAAGAATAAAAATTTAAAACAAATTATGAAAATAAAAATATCTCAAGAATGGTTTATTTGCCCAAATATTTATTAGGCTTTTGTTTTTGGACATACTAAATCCCCTTAAAATATTTTATCCTTTTTTTCAACATCCTATATAAATGTACATCAAATCCATTTCATAATTCTTTTGCATCAAGTTATCATTTTTTTATACGCGTTTATTTTCACAGCCGTTACCAGCACGATTGGAAAAGGCTTTGGAAGAAGCACGAGAGCTTAATAACGATCATTTTCGAAAATATCAAGAAAAATTACGATCCATTAATCCACCTTGTGTACCATTTTTAGGTAAATATCGCAAAGTAACAATGATCTTTTATAGATGACAAAAGATTTAATCCTTTCCTTTTATACATTCTCAGGTATGTACTTGACTAATATCCTGCATATTGAAGAGGGAAATCCAGACTACTTACCGGGAAGTCCGGAGCTTATCAATTTTAGCAAACGGCGAAAGGTAGCGGAGATAACTGGTGAAATACAGCAGTACCAAAATCAACCCTATTGTCTTTCAATGGAGTCTAAAATAAGACAATATATTGAAAATATGTGTCCCTTCGATCCTAATATGTCAGATGCAAATATAGGCACTTATCTGTATAACAGAAGTTTAGAGATAGAGCCAAGGAAATGTAAAGCACCTACACGATTCGTAAGTGTTTTATATATTTTATTTGATATTTAAATAATTATATTATTTCACTCTCTCTCTCTCTCTCTCTTACGAATTATTATTATTACAATATTATATATTTTGTACATATTTTATTTGATATTTATATATTTATTTTATATATTTTATTTGATATTTATGTATTTATTTTATTTCATATTTAAATAATTATATTATTTTACTCTCTCAATTACAAATTATTATTATTACAATATTTTATATATAATTTTATATATTTTATTTGATATTTAAATAATTATATTATCTTACTCTTTCAAGTTCTTACCAATTATTATTATTCTTACAATAGCCACGTAAATGGCCCGAGATAAACTTGAAATCGCCGGGCATCAAGGCTAGTAGAAGTTTGAGCGGGAAGCTGCCAGCTCCGTTGCAGACGGTGACGTCTAGCGTAAGATCGCACGATCCTCCGGCAGAAGCACCTCAACCTTCCGAATTGCCAGAAACACCGCCACATGCATCGCAAATAGGGGGGGACTACAGCGTTTTTGCACCTGTCTTATTAGGTATATTTATCAATCTTTAAGGCTCCTCGCTGCGGTTATGTCAGATTGTGACGTCAGAGGCGAGAAAGCACGCGTTGTAAATTCTTAGATGCCACTTTTAAATGAAAAGATATTCAATGACTATACTTCAGGAGTGTTAAAGCCATCTAAAGTGCTGTTTCATCGAAATATCCTTATTTATTATTTCGAAAAAGCATCTAAGAATTTTTAGCGTCATAATGACGTGTCATCATAATTTTATTTATCACTTAAAAGTTATCTGAATAATTATTCAAAAATAATTCAGAAAGAATCATAAATTTAAAGCTCCCTAATATAAGATAATCGCTTATTTATATAATTTTCAAAAATTTTGCAAAAATTAAGCAACGAAAAATTGTTCTTAAATATTGAACAATAGAATAAATAAATAATTGTAATTTTTTTTTTTTTTTTTCTCCAAATGAATTTGAAGTGACGTCGTTTTTAATAACGATTACAACTGAAGGTTTCCTTACTGCAGGACCTTCTGGAACTGTACCTCCAGGATCACCCAGTCCGCCTAGCATGTCGGGGCTTTCGATCGCTTCGTCGAGTAGCAGCCCTCAACTGGCATCCCCCGGACATTTCCCTTCGCAACAGTTTCAGTTCGCCTTTAATCCTGGCATGGTGAATACGTCGTCGTCAGGTGGAAGCCCAGGTGGGATGCCAACGCCACCATCTCCCGGTAACATACCTAGCCAACGTCCACCACCTCTACCGCCTAGAACCCACAGAAGACGAGAGAGTTCATTTAGCGAATCATCGCAACAGGTAAGATTTCGAGAGATCAATCCGGATTTTTAATTTTGTTTAATTGAGTGCTCTTCGCGTCATGTTAGATTGTAACGTCAGAGGCGAAAAAGCACACCCTGAAAATTAATTCTTAAATGCTAATTTTGAATGAAAAAAAGAGTTTTCGAGGTTTTTTAAGAATGTGTTAAAGTCATATTAAGTGCTTTTTCATCGAAATGGCATCTAAGAATTTTTTCGCCCCTGACGTCACAATTTCAACATTAGAAAATAATCAGAAAGGAATCAATTGTACAGAAAACACATAATTATTTTTAAGAAAAAATATGTAGTTGCTAGTTGCAAATATGAATATCTCTGCAGCGAGATTTATTGAAAGTAGAGTAATCATAGATACAGGGTGTCCCACAGAAAATTGCTAAAACTAATCAGTTTTTATTTGTTAATGCATACAATTATTGAGAAAACAAAAATTGTTTTGAAAAGAGTAAAGTATGCAGTTTTTAATCGATATAAATAAAATATTTGTATATTAGTTTATTTTATTGATAAAAAGTAATAAAAAGTGCCAATAATCACATAAAATCACATAAACTAATGATAAATATTTTCAACGTGCCAGATTTAATAGCAGCTAAAAGGATTGTAAATAATATTAAAAATGACGTTAGAAGACAATTTTTACAAGTTTCCGTAAAAGAACAGAATTTTGTACAAATTCAAATGGCGTGCACTTTGAAAATATTTATCATTAGTTTACATATCTGATTATTAGCATTTTTTTCATTACTTTTTTCAATAAAATAAAGTGGTACACAAACATTTTATTTATATCCATTAAAAACTGTAAACTTTTCTCTTTTCAACACAATTTTTATTTTCTCAATAACTGCATATATTAAAAAATAACAGCTGATTAGCTTCAGCAATTTCCTATGAGACACCCTGTATGTTACATACGATAAAGTTTAAGAAAATCACTTTTAAACAAATGTAGGCAAGACAAGCGCCAAACGCACCAATTCTTCCGCCGAGGGATGATATATCTCCACCACCCTTACCACCACGAAGAGACGTACCGCCGCAGATTCCGTCAACGCTGAGCTCCAGCAGCTCGGCGTTATTGGCGCGCCGAAATTCTACATTAGAAAGCACATGCCCTGCCGTCGGTCATCCACGGAGGCACATGTCTTTCAATGGTCCTAGTTTCAATAGCCCCACGAAACTTCCATCGACGCAGCCTAACGGTAAGCTAATGATTTTTTAAAAAAAAGGTAATTATTCAATAAAAATTTACTTTAAAGAAAAGGAAAAAAACACCAATTGTGAAAAACTGTGTTATATGTAAAATACGTCTTACAAAGATGGTGAAAATTTTTTGTTGAAAATATGTGAAATGTAAATAATTAAGTTTGATACATTTCAATAGATATACATATGCATATATCCTGAAAAGATTTATTTAAAAAAAGATAATACAAAATACAAAAAAAACATTAAATTAAAAATTAATTTAAAAAATTGAAAACTAGGAATTAATACAAGAGGTGTTAAAAATTTATACGAAGATGAAAAATTAATACAAATAAGAAAAATAAAAATTTTTATTAAAATAATTTGACACTGCTAAATTTCAAAGTTTATATTATTTTGCGCCGCTTTGCTTACAATCATTTATTTTGATGTTTGATTATTTTTGTATTTCAGGATCAGTGACACCGAGGTTACCACCAAAACCGATAGGAGGTTCATCTACCATGTTTAATTTCAACGCTCCTCCTGGACCTAGTTAAGTGTTACTCTATGTCTCTCTTTCCTTTTTCTCTTTCTCTTCCTATCAATTTTCTTCTTTTTTTTACTTTGTTGGAAAAGAATATTTTCAATCGAAGCTTAATCCATTCAGTAAGCTGAATTAAGCTAAAATTTTCTTGCCGCATAAATTGTAAGAAAAGAAATTCTAACAACACAAACAGATTAGGTAGAATATTTATCTTTGACTATAAAAGTATATATTGTTAGTATTTTAAGTTGTGTTTGTTTTTTATAAAGTCAATGTTATGATTAAAAAATCATGCATTATGAAATTATGTAAATAATTGTTTTTATGTTCTGCTTATTTTAATTAGTATAAGAAAGTTACCAGTTCTCAAAAGATGTATATAATAAAATAGAACTCAAAATCAGGGAACTATCGATTACAGAATTGTTTTTTATCAGGTTTTTTAACATTTAAATATGTTGAAAATACTCGAGCAGAATGATATAATTTTAATTTGTGTATCATTCATTTGATCATGACACATATTTGCTAGAAGCAAAATGCATAAATATTTTATGGACGACAGAAATTCGTTTTTATTCAATTATATGTTATATAATTCATGCTTTTATAGTTAAAGATATTTATAAATTTATAATAGCACTCCTTAATATAATCCGATAACTTTGAAAATATAGAATTTATAGGACACATGTATATTATCAGGTGCTTATTTGTTTGAATAATATAGCAGAAATATTTCATCTATATTATTGAACTATAATATACATTACATAACTATATAACATACTGGAGCAAACTTTCAAGGAATGCGGTTCATTCTTTTTTTATTATTTTTTTTTATTATTGATCAGCCACTGAAATTTATTATAAGAAAAACTTCTAGTATGTTATACGTTATTCTAATGATCTATTTGAAATTATTTATGCATTAAGGCTACTATTTGTTTCGTGTTTATATAAGAATATACATAATTATGATGTAAAAAAATAAATGTAACGTTGTCCAGCATAAGGATTATTAAATTATTGGCTAGCAATCAGAAATAATTTGTAATGCGATCGATGTAGCCGTATTTGGGATCATTTTAATCAAAGTACTTTGAATCATCGCGTATTCACGGAATGTTACATCTTATTACATCATGCACGCGTCATCCCTTGGATCATTTATATTCGATAGTATGATATAAAAGTCATATCATATAGAAAGCACATCAGTGTTAGCACATGCAAGCATCTGCAAAGAAATCAAAGTTATCGGGGTCAAACTAAAGGGGTTCTATTAGAATGTTGAATGTAAATATATCAACCCTTTGTGCTTCAAGTGTCGGTACAGTTTGAAGATTTTGGTGTCAATATTTAGTTGACAAAAATAAAATTTATGTGATTTAAATAAAATTGCATAACAAGTACTATCATTGATGACAGATGGTGTCATTGATTTGAACTGAACATTTTACAAGATATTTTACATTTTATGCCAAAAAATTGTAAACTTTAAACTTTTATAATTTGAAATATACTTCATCAAACAACACTTTATTATAGGGTTTTGGAAAGCTCGTTAGATAAGCTATAAGAATATGTAATAAAAAATAGTAGGTTCCATTTAAGAAATTGAAGGTAACCTTCACGTGACTTTGAAATGATTATACAAGATTAAATCAATAACACCATTTTATGTTCCCCTCATAATCAACAAACTTTTGTTGTAAATATTTTTTTCCATCTTGCTTACTATACGAGATATTTACGTGCGTTGATTAAAATGGCTCACGATGTATATCTAATATCGTGTAATATGAAATATTTTTACAAAATATTAACATCTCTTATTTTGATATTATAATATTCGGAAATGTATAATTTTATATATTTTAATTTTTGTATATTTTCTAAATTAAAAAAAAAAATTGTGTACGAGAAAAACAATAGATACGACGATATAAAAATATCTATATATAATATATATATATATATATATATATATATATATATATATATATTATATATATATAAGTTTGATTTTTATTCTTCTTTTTTCGAAAATTGTATATGTATGATAAACATTATATAACATAATTATATATTTACATCATATAATTATAAATATTATAATTATATAATATGAACATAAAATTCATTATTTCTTTTCATACAAATAGGGGTATAAGATATACATAAAATTAATAATACATTATTACAATATTAACATATATGGAACAAACATCGCGCGAAAATTTGCAAAGTGCAAAGGGTAAAATAATTCGTTAGATTTTGACAATTCAGTCATTCTCAAGTTTACTATTTATTATAGTTAACGGTTTGGGTTTGCTGTATTTCATAATCTTACTGAATGGACTATGCTCAAGTTCCGATTATTCGAATGGCTTTCTTCCTATCTTTCTTTAAATCTATGTCTTTCCCTCAAACACAACTGTGATATAGTTTGAACATAAAAAATATTTTAATGTAATTATAGACGTTTAGATTTTAAAGTAACTGACGTAAGAAAGTGATGTGTATTGAAATAAATATACAAATAATTATATATAAAGAAAAATCAATGGAATCAATACCAACAAAGAAATATATATATATTGTATATAATATATATATTTATATTATATACATATATACATATACATGTATATTATAAATATATTCTCTACATAATAGCGATTGTAATAATTTCTAGGAAAAAATATGGCATTATGTAAAATAAAAAAAATATATTGTGTATAACATTTCGTGGTAACTTTTACCTTATCTTTACGTGTTTAAGATAATAAGACTAGAGGCGTGAAACACGAATATTGAAAAACATGTCAGTTTATTAACTTTTGAATTACAGATCTTTTATTATCATCTTACGTAATCGAACATTACGAATGGAATGCATGTATATAACAGAGTTACAGCTCTCTCCTCTGCTCTCGAGAGTCACTACGGGACTTCCCATACGGTGCTATCGCTGCGTCTGCTATGTCTAATGTTGTCACCGTGAACATCCAGAACGTCGCTCAGTTTGCTGAACCGTCTGGCCCAGCTTCCTCTGCCGATGCTACCGGCTTCTCTCAAAACCGAAATCAAATCATCCTCGTCCTCCTTTCCCTTTATCTCCTTATCGTATTTCTCCTCCTGTGCGATCAGCCGTTCGCGTTGTAACTGAGTCGACAGAGAATGCGGCACGGCTGGTATAACATAACTCATAATACCGGTGAGTGCAAAAACCTGTAAGATAAATTTTTTTGAAGTGGTTAATTTCCTATCTCGTCAATTTTCAAAATATAAATATCGGAAAATTGTGAAAATATTAAAAGTAAAATATCAGTATTTTAAAACTAAACATACATTAAAAATAAAAGAATACTTTAAAGATTTATTTATAATTATTTTATTATGCATAAAAAATAAATAAAATCATAAAAATAATAAAAATATATTACAGAAATAAATTACATATATTGTATATGAAATAATATATCCATTATAAGAATATAAAATTATACAAATTTATTTTATTAATAAAATAAACAAGTATGCACAAATAAAAATAATCTTTAAAGGTATTATATTTTTATTATTCCGCAAAAATTATTAAAGTTATATTTATACATTAATAATAATAATTCGCATTAAAAAAACAAAATAATTTGTATCGAAAATAAAATTAAATAAAATAATTTAATGCAATAAAAATAATGTGTACTAAAAATAATAAAATAATAAATATAAAAAATTTAAGAATTAAATTTAAATATAACAATTTTGTGAAAATAAAGTCTTAAGCTATACTATATGAAATATATTGTGAATAACATATATTTATAGTCATACTGTATATCAATCTATTTTAATATAAAGAATGTAAAACTGTATTAAACTGCTGTATTAAATCGCGTACTTACAACGTGTTCGAAAACAACGACGAAGGCCAAACGTGCGGCGAAGACGTGCCAGTATTGCGGACTGAGCCCGTAAGGTTCTTTGGGATCATTCGGACCGTTTCTGTAGCCTCTATATTGACATGTCTCAGGATGTTGGTCCTCCACGTCGCTTTTCATATCCTCGCGATAATCGGAAGTATTGAATTCTGCTAAGGAGCTGTCGATGTAACCCACTAGGTCCTCAGTGGGTGAGTAAACGAATGCGTACACACTTCGTGGAATAAAATCGGAGGTATACGCAATAACAAAGGCCTAAAAAATATATTTATATATATTTAAAAAAATATATATATATGTATTTATTATAACGTATATAATATACATATATTTTATTTATTTATTATATATATATATATATATATATATATATATATATATATATGTATTTAAACAGAATGTAGCATTTTTTATTTTCGACTTCATTTTCCAAAGATGGGATGTGATTTATACTATACAATACAGGGAGGATTAAACATCCTAATTTAAAATATAAATTTAAATATGCGTACATTTGATACTACCGCTACGTAAGTAACACCCCTGAGAATACCAAACCAGGCGCCGATATCTTCTACTCGTTCGGCCAAAGGTCGTCTTGCTTCCTTCACCATTTTGTATGCATCCAGTCTTATCTCGGCGATATTATTTAATAAAGCGAATAAAGGTGCCAATGGAAACGCTGCGACGAACAATGTTACAAATCCGTACTGCAAAACTATAAACAGAGATCGCAAAAAAAATGAAATATTCTTAAAAAGATATAAAGTTCACATATAATAAAAAGTGTTAAAACAAATAATCGGATGGTCTTTTAATGACAGATGTTTTTATCAATACTTGAAATTAACAAATGTGGTTTTGTTAATTTTTTTTATTATACAGATCATTTCAAATCCGGATTATTGATTACATCTTGATATTTTTGCTGAAGAAAAGTCATCATCAGATAGAAGAAAAATCTGCCAAAGATTTTATATAATTATATACTCACTCATTTCTAAATATTCATCGAACAAAGCTAGTCTTCCCGGATCTTGGAGCTGATAATTTTTCTCCCAAGAAGTATATCTTCTATCGTGATCCTTCGTCGCGGCAACTTGTGTTCTCTTGCGCCACCAATTCCATAATTTCGGCGATAGAATCTCGACGAAGTTATTGAAGCACTGCTTACCGATCATTATAATCGCAAGTTGAATGCAGACCTCCGAGAGGCAACCAGCGGGATCGCATACGTCTGTCTTGATGCGATAAAACTCCGAGGCTCTCGCGTCCGCGTCGCCAGGATGGACGAAAAATCTTCCCTAAAAAAATTGATCAGCCGATCAGTGATCAGTGTATCAGTAGTCATTGGCTGCGTTTAGTAGAAAAAGCAGCTGTGCAACTATTATAAGATTCCTAAATCTGATTGATGTATGCTTTTGATCTTATAATTAAATGAATCTAAGAGCATGCACCAATCAGTTTCACGAATTTTACAAGTGTAAAGCAGCTGTTTCTGCTGAACGCAGCCACTGGATCAGTGATCAGTGAATCAGTGATTACTTTAATAGCACACCATATCCGAAAGACATTCAGAGGACATTCGAACATCCTCAGGATGTTCTCTGAATGTTTTCGCGATATGTGTGCTGTTAGGGTAAAGATCAGTAATCAATGAATTAATAATCAGTGAATCAGTGATCAGTAAATCAGTGATTAGTGTATCAATAATCATCAATGATACACTATAATGACTGATCACTGATCATTGATAATTGATCCACTGATTATTAATCCTTTGATCATTAATCATTGATTCACTGATTACTGATACACTGATCTACTGATCATTGATAATTGATCCACTGATTACTAATTCACTGATCATTGATCACTAATCACTGATCCACTGATCACTGATTTACTAATCATTGATCAGTGATTAGTGATCAATGATCAGTGAATTAGTAATCAGTGGATCAGTGATCAGTGGATCAATTATCAATGATCAGTAGATCAATGTATCAGTAGTCATTGGATCAGTAATCAGTGAATCAGTGATCATTGATGAATGGATCAATAATCAGTGGATCAGTGATCAGTGATAAATAGATCTGTGAATAGTGAATTTCGAGAAATGAGAGTTTTCAATGTACACATATATCCTAATATATCGTACGTTTATATATCTTACTTTGAAAAAAGCGATGTAAATCAAGGAGGAATAAAAGTTGACGAACTCGAATAGAAAGATCTTGAACGTATAACTGGCTTCGTATTCAGTTTGCGTCCTCGGATTCTCCATATTGACCATCCATAGCGCCAATCGGTGATATATCCGTGTGAGTATCATTATTATCACCAGATTAATGAGGGCAGCGGTTACTGAGGTGAATATCTTCGCGTGTCTCTGTAGGAAAGAACCACCGCCGCCGTAAAAGACAGCGACCAACGAAATACGGTATACGATCGTCCCTAAGACCGCTCCAAGAACTACGCATATCTGTACGTAAACATAAATAAAGGTAATTAAATAATATGATATTACTGAGAAAAACGCGCATAGAGATGTACTAATTACCATAAAAAACACCATCGAGCCTGTAGCCAAATATCGTATGGCTTTAGAATACACGGGTAAATATGGTTCTCTTTCCTTTGTAACGGGATTTGTTCGGAACGTTTTCACGGATGTTTCGAATTCGGGTCTGGGCTCTTCGTCGTAATCGGTATTCTGGAGATCCCATTCCCAAACAATCACGGCTTGTCGTCGTTTCCAAAGCTCAAGAAACGTAGTAGCTGTGTTATGTCATATGAGAGATTAAAATCTCAACATTAATGTACAGAACGTATTATTTTTACGAGTCTTACCCCAGAAAGACATAAAAATAGCGAAGAAGACAGTTGCGGGATTATCGAATAGATAAGTCAATTTCGAAAATATACAGGAATCACCGAGTATCTGATAAGCACACGCTTTATCACAAAGAGGACATAGAGTGATATTTCCTGAAAAATTTAATATAATTAAAGTGTTTTTTCTGATCATGTGCTAAAATTCGAAGCAAATAAAATTCCAAGTAGAACAAAAAAGTTAAAATAATGTCAATTTGACGTCATATTGACATTATTTTAACTTTCTGTTTTACTTCCCAAACAGCACTATGTCCAAAATTGGTGCATAAGATATCATTGAGACATCTTTAAGAAATCTTATGATATGATATATCCCAAAAACATCTTAAAGATGTCCCTAATAGTACAATATATCCGAAAGATATTCAGAGAATATTCAGAGGACATTCGAACATCCTCAAGATGTTCTCTGAATGTCTTCGGGATATGTGTGCTGTTAGGGGTTTAAAATTGATGCATAAGACATCATTAAGAAATCCTTTAAGACATCTTTAAGAAATCTTATGATATGATATCCCAAAGATCTTAAAAATGTATGCATCAATTTTGGACGTGGTGCTGTCTTAACAGCACGACCCCGTCGTGGGATTGGAATATGCGAAGTTTTACCAGCTATATTAGGGTCGCAAATCTCTTTGCTAGGTACGTTGTCCTCGCCATCCATGCTTCCGAGGCCATAAACGAAGCACAAGAGTCCCACCACCGCCGGCGGATATAAGCATTTCGTGTAAAATCCTAGCCAGGCGAAGTAAAGGGCAACTTTCTCGCCGAAGTATCGTCTTATCAACCATAAGGGTTGTTTCTTATACCTAGAAAGCGCGTGAAAACACATAATTAGCCCGAGGCGTACTTGAAAATATTTGCATTACACAGTGTTGTGCTTTGATGATTTTAAAATTAGCTAGACAGGAATGAGAGAAAAATATATAAATTCATCTTAGATAAGATGAAGATGATTTTGTTTTAAATATAGATAAAAGATAAAATTACATGGCGATTCATCTAAATAATTTTCTAGATAATAATTTTTAAGACTGCTTATATAAATGCAATTATAAAAAAATGTAAATTATAAAAGGGATATAAAAATGTATATGTTCATATTTTTATTTATATAAATGTTTATCGCTTACTACTTAGGTTCTACTATTTAAATATTTTTATGTGCTACGAGTATAATTCTAAACCAAAATTATCTGAAAATTATTCTAGATAATTTAGTAAAGATAATACTTTTTTCATCTAAGATGCAGATATAAATAATACATTTTTTTATTATCTATATAAAGATAAGATGACGCCAAAATTTCATCTAGATGATCATCTATATAATTTTATTTAGATAACAGCAAACATTGGTATTATATACCATTGCGAGGGTCTTGCCCATATCAGATACAACAGGTATCTGTCGAGAATGTCTCCATTGGGCATGGGTTTATTGTAAGGACCTTCGTGCAAGGAGAAGCAATCGAGATAGGTTCCATCTGCTAGCAGCCTGCGAATGCCAGACTTCTCATTGGTTTCGTCGTATCTCGCTCGTAATAATATTTGCATCACTATCAATGATCTCTGAGCAGGTGTGTAAGCATTATCTCTCTCCTTTACAATGAACCTGTAAAATTATATTAAAATTCAATGTAACGATAAAATATTCGATTTTGCGGGATGTTTATTAGAGGATGTTCCCAAAAACCTCGGATATGTTACTTTAACAGGTTTAATACGAGGAAAAAACGTCTCCAAATATTAGCCAAAGAATCTGTTATTAAAATATCATCCAGTGGTTTGGAATGCTTTGCATAAATATATATATATATATATATATATATATATATGTATATGTATTACCTCTCCTCGAGATCGCCGGAATCTATATAGTCGTAAAAATTCGGTTCCTGGGGATATTTCGTCTTGTCCCAAGTATGTATTTCACGTATCCACTGGAGGCATCGACTCCATCTGCCTAAGAATTTTGATGTTCCTTTGGCACCGTCTGCATCCTGCTTTCGCAATTATTATTTTATAATACAGATTAGTTTATAACCAGGGTTGGCATGTTTTAAACAATTTGTTTAAAACTGTTTAATTAAAACTTATTTAAAACAGTGGATATTGTTTTAAACATATTTGTTTTAAACAGTTTTAAACTACTGTTTAAAACAGTTTAAAAACATTGCAATTAATAAAATATATGATTATTTGGAAAAGAAACTGCATGCAAAGAAAAACTAATAGACGTGCATGTTGCGAAAAGATTTTTGTTTTAATTTTTTTAGTTTATCTATATTTATATGTAACCTTTAGTAAAATTAAAAATATAAACATAAATAATGAAATAAAAATAATAAGATAAGTATTATTTTAACAAAATATTTATTTTTGGATATTAAATATTAAGTAATAATAAATATAATTAAATATACAACTAGTGATAGATAAAAAGGACAACTTATCGAGCAATTATTAGAGTTGTTCTGTCAAATAAAATTTATTCCATGTATAAACTAAACATAAAACATTATGTGAAAGCTACAAACATTCTATACTCAAACTTAAGCAAAAATTACAATCATTATAAAATAAACGTTTCAACCGCACGTGGTCTTCTTCAGTATTATACATATTACAGTAATTATTAAAAAATACAAAATCATACAAAAATTCCACATAATATCGAAAATTAATGTTAGTTCTTCAATAAGAGTCGAGAATTTATAAGCAATTAAAGCGTGTTTCAATCCGTCATCCAACAAATGTTCGCCTCTTATTGAAGAACTAACATTAATTTTCGATATTATGTGGAATTTTTGTATGATTTTGTATTTTTTAATAATTACTGTAATATAATACTGAGGAAGACCGCGTGCGGTTGAAACGTTTATTTTATAATGATTGTAATTTTCGCTTAAGTTTGAGTATAGAATGTTTGTAGCTTTTACATAATGTTTTATGTTTAGTTTATACATGGAATAAATTTTATTTGACAGAACAATTCTAATAATTGCTCGATAAATTGGCCTTTTTATCTATCACTAATTGTATTTACAATATACGAGCGAAACTTCGTATCAATTAATTTATAATTAAATATATTAATTAAAGATTATACATATATAAAGATATCTGCACAAAGCACAAACTATTCAAATTTAAATTATAACACATTGCATTTTACATTTTATCTATTGCAAATATAAAATAATGTAATTCCTTTAACTAAAAAGGTAACAATAATATATTGGAATTGCATTGCAGTCATTGCGTATTCCTACTATTATAAATTGAATTAAAATTAAATAAATTTTAAAATTAATAACTTAAAATAAAATAATGAATATATAAAGTGCCTACACAAAAAGCTATAAAATGTTTTTTTTGCTTGTTTAAAATATATTTTTTTGTTTAAAAAATATTTTTTCTTACTTTACTTAAAAACACGTATAAAACAAAAAACGTTTTAAATAAAAATGAATGTTTTTTGTTTAAAATGAAAAAAATAAGTTGTTTACCAACCCTGCTTATAATCCAGAATCTTAAGATCTAGCTTTGAAAAAAAGACATACCCAAGTCTTCATAGGAATGGTCTTGAATCTCTTTGTGGGTAGTTTCAGATTCATCACTTCCGCGTATTGCACCTTTATTTTCCAAGGTATATGTAACTTTAAGAAATATGTTTTTCCATCAAACGAATTCGCTTTTGGTTCTAGCTCCAGTTGCAGTCCTTCCCTCAACAGATTTTGTTGAAAAACTTTTCTCTGTTCTCGCCGACGAGCTTCTATTTCAGTCATGACTCCTTCATTTTCTTCTTGGTAGACTAATACCATATCGATTCTCCGATGACCATCACTAAAATTATCATATTGGCTCAAATCAATAAATAATAAAAGCCAAGAAGTATTAGATGTTAAGTATTAGAAATAATACACTCTCTTTTATTTTTAAGCTCGAAACTCTCTTAGCTAAAAGTTTAAAATAATAAAAATATATATTCACAAATATTTACTAAAGACTGATCTCTTATATTATATCGCACTTTTGATAATATAGTTTTCAAACTTTTTTTCAGCAAATACTTGAAAAAATCGAACAAAGTCTCAGAAATTAATCCTTAAAACCGACATATTTATTGAGAATTATAGAAATAATAAAAATATAAAAAAAATACACTGCAATTATTGAATTAGACAAGTTTCTTGAAATTGTAAAATAAAATTATTTATTTTCTTATTTTTTATTTATAAAATAAAATAATTTTTACGGAAAGAGACATTTTTTTTATTTTTTAAAGTTAAAATTTTTAATTTATCAAGACATTTTCATGTACGCACACATATTTAAAAAAATAAACTATAAAAATATAAATAGTCTATATTTAACAAATAGCATTCATTTAGATATCTACAAACATTTAGAATAATAGATATAATTATTATAAAAGATATATTTTTATCGCTATTTATTATCAGATTAGATACTTTGCCAGAAAAAAATAGAAAAAAATTTAACAAAATTGCAAAAATTTAATAAAAGCTAATTTGACAGATAAACAATTATACAAATTATAAATTTAATAAAATATAATATGATTGAAAAAAAAAACCAATACAATCATTCGGCTCTATTAAAATTTTTAATAAATATTTAAGTCTCACTATGAGTTAACGATGAGAGCCAGGGCACAATTAATGAGGCGCTAATATTTCAAATTAAAAAGATTAAATTTTATATGTATAGTTTTTATATTATATGTATAATTTTTTATGATAATTAAAATTTAATCTTTTTAATTTGAAATATTAGCGTCTCATTAACTGCGCCCTGGCTCTCATTGCTAACTCATACTGAAACTTAAATATTTATTATAAATTTAATGTTTAAAATTAATAAGAGACCAAAAAAGGAGATCTATATTGACTTTTCCTCTAATTGTAAGAAATCGTTTTGAAGAACGACGCAATGCAATAATTCTTTTTTCCATACGTATATGCTATTACATTAAGTGTGCCTAAAAATAAACTAGACTTGAAACTAAATGACTTTCTCTATTCGTGTCATTCGCTTATATTCATGTTCACGTAACGACACAGGTAGCATAAAATATGTATATACGTATGTATATGTACATACATATAATGTGTGTGTCTGTGCACTATTGTAAATTAAGTATTTATATTGAAATAAATGAAATTGACATTCAATATATATAATATAATATTTTATAAAGTTTTATAGAAAAAAACGTAAGTACAAAAAATTACTTATGAAAAATTAGTCTAATAAAATTGCAATTTATAGTCCAAACATTTATTTTTATATATTTAAAATTTTGTTTTATTTTATAATATGTCTAAAATTTTATAATATATCTAAAATATAAATTTTCTTAAAAATATATATTTGTGTATGAAATATATTTAAACGTGTGACCCGGGTACATTAAGTTTTCATATCTAACTTTAGTCTGAAGGCTTAGTTTACGACTTAGAATTTGTGTAAAACTTTCTTTTAAATTACATATCATAAAAGTGGCTCAAGAAATTTAATTTATTTAGTGTCGATTACAAATTGGTAGCATATAATTTACTATACTTGGCATTAATATTGATCTCATATCTGTATTTATTTTTTCAAATTTTTGTTGTATAGTAGTTGAAATATTTTTTGTGTATACTTAATGTACTTTTAAAAAAATTTTGTGTGTGTATATGTGTGCGTTATTTTAGTGGAATTTTATTAATTTCTCTAAAAGTAAACTTGTTTCACGGATAAAAAATCATTCTTTATTTTTTAAAAATTCTTTTATCGAAAAAGAAACATATATTTTAACTAGTGAATATTTTAACATGAAAAACAATTTTAGAAATCAGTTTTAAATCAATATGTATTTTTGAGACGTGTCTAAAATTACATGTTTATCTGAGAATAAAAAATGATAATAAGACAATTGCCTATTTCTGAAGAATCGTATTAAGCTTGACATAATAGAAAAAAGATGCCTATAAATATATATATATATATATATATATATATATATAAGTGCATCTATGTATATACATGTATATCTCTATGTACTCGATCGCTTCATCGAAGAAAACTTAAAATAACTCTTGACATATGGCAGACAACTATACTTACCGAAAATAAAGTGTCTCGGAATCGATCCCTATTTCTCCTTCCTTTGGCGGCAATGAATTTCCGGTATTCTCGATAAAATCCAGCGACACCGGCGTGTCTGGTAACGAGGGGTTAATTTCCGGGGTGGCGGGTGCCGTGAGCTTAGGACCTTGTCCAAAAAAATAAAATAATTTTTTATTTTTTTAATATTTTTTTATTTTATTTTTATTTTTTTTAATTAAAATTTTTAATTTAGCAAAGCATTGTTATGCACGTACACGTATTAAAAAAGAAATAAAACTAAAAAGTATGTAAATATAGTTTACATCAGCAAATAGCATTTATTTAGAATCTACACACAAGCATTCAAAATAATATAATTATTTATAAAAGATATTTATCGCTATTTATATATATATATATATATATATATATATATATATATATCAGATTAGATACTTTGCCAGAAAAAATATAGAAAAAATTTACAAAATTGAAAAAATTCAATAAAAACCACTACTTTTTAAATAAAATTCTTTTTACTGTTTATTTTCATATCTATTTTCCATTTTTCTGCTTTCATATTATACTAAATTGTTAATTTTTAATTACAGTGTCAGGATTGCGTAAATTAATGATTTTTTTTAACTAAGTTTAGTTAAAATTATAGTTGCTTATAAAATTAATTTATTTAAGTTAAAAGTTGCATGAACAGAAAATTAATTCAGTTAAAGTTAAGTTAAGATTAAATTAACTGAAGTTAAATTAAAAGTTAATTTTTAAAACATTATTTATATTAAATTAGAACTTTGTTTGTTAATTCTTTTAAAATTTATAATAACAAAAATAACAAAGAAATTTTGATTTTTATATAAAAATATATTTTTATTTTTTTCGTAATTACAATTAATGACAAATAAAAATAAAAATTAATAATACTTTAATTTAAAAATAATACGTTTATAACTTATAAAAAACAATAATGGTATTCAGAGATAAAAAAAATTTAATTTAAGAAAAAGTTAATAAGTTTAAGGTAAAAAATAGTTAAAGTTAAAATTAATACATTTTAATACATTAACTAAGTTAAGTTAAAATAAGTAACTTTTTAAAATGTTTAATTAACTAGTTATTACCCACAACCCTGATTAATTTATTCTTTGTTTTCCTAATTAAAAATCCCTCTTGTTAATAAGACGATAAAGCAAGAGCGAACTGAATTAATAGCCTCTTTAAAAATTTTGCTTCTTATTTAGAAATTGTTAGTAAGGTGCAAGTATAATTTTGCAAGGCTACTGTCGCTATTACAAAAAAAAGTGCATAGAATTAAACGCAGAGTTGAAACGTTTATATAGAACTCTTCTTATAATATCGCGCTATCAAGAACCAAGTCTTAAGCGTTGCATTATTAATATCCGATATTCGTGACACGCTGACATTCGTATACGCATATTGATCGTGGTTTACTGACATAACTTTATTGCTATTATAGACGTCGGTTGCACGTTTCCACACGAGTTTCTCGTTTTTTTTATTCTTTTTATATACTTTTTATATAGATCGTATCCCTCGAGCTACTTTCAGCAAATTTCAAAGTTATTAAAGTGCGAAACAAAAATGAAAAAGGAGTTAAAATTAGTTTTTATTATCATGTAAATAATATAAGAGTTTGCGAAAAAAATGTTGCCAACCGGTATAAAGGGTGTGTCAAAAATCTGGATGAAACATGGTCGAATATTTCATAAACTAATATGCATTTTAGAAAAATAATGTTTCTCCGAGATATTGTAGGGTTTAAAAATATCTATTCATCAGGGTTTTAACAGTTTAATTTGACCATAGATGGCAATGCCCAAGGTTACGTGCAAGTCATCTTGAATTTTTTAAATGCAGAAACCCTCATTTTTTATTGTACATTCTTTTGTAGTTTACCTCGAGAGCTTTCCAAAACAATATAATGAAGTATTTTTTCATTAAGAACTTTTTGAGCAAGGTTGAGTAGTAATAACTAGTTATATAATTATAAAAATTAAACAAAGTTAGAAAGTTAAACTTAAGCTCATTAAACTTTTTTCCTAAGTTAAAAATTTTTTTCATCTTTGAATTAGTTTTTTTATAAAATAATCTTAGAGATATTGAACAATTTTTTAATGATGATTAAATTTTAATAAGAGATAACCATTCTATGACATATTCTTACAAGAATTATGAAATAAATAAAGATACTATTAGTTTTTTTAACATAATTCTAATTACAAAGAAAAAATATATTTCTATATAAAAACAAAATTTTTGTTATTTCCTTATTTGTTATATAATATTAATTTAAAAATTAAAAATAATAAAATAAATTAAAAAATTTTGAAGTTATAACATTTTAATTTAATATAAATAATATTTTTAAAAATTAACTTTTAATTTAACTTAAGTTAATTAAATCTTAACTTTTAACTGAGTTAGTTTCTTGTTCATGCAACTTTTAACATAACTAACTAAAACTAAATTAATTTTATAAGCCATTAAACTTTAACTTTATTTATAGTTTTAAAAAAATATTTACTTATTCAACCCTGTTTTTGAGTTATAAAGCATGAATAAGTTTACTAAAAGATTGGAAATTCATTTTTTGACATAAAATATAAAATATAAAAATTCAAGATAACCTTGGCATCGCACTACTTATTGTCAAACTGGTAAGACTGATGAATAGATATATATTTCAAACAACTGAATTTGTCTGAAACTTTTTTTCTAAAATGCGTAGTTTATCGAACATTTGATCATTTCCAGACTTTTGACACATCCTATATGTTATATACTCGTATTAACCTTGCCATGAACCTCGAAATAAGTCTGTACGCGAGCGTTTCAGTTGATTGTTGAATTAAAAATTCTCACCGAAGGCATCCTGCGCGATCAGGGTCGTTCCGGAGGGATGGATCACGCTGGCCCTGGACAATTTCCTTTTGATGCTCGCCGGTGTTCCTCCGCACGAGAGACCGCCATTTTTGTCGAGCTCGTAGACGATCTCCCTGGTCGAGTGAACGGACAGATTAGCACATTCCGGTGATTTTGGAGCGCTGCGAGACCCATTTCTCGACGATTTCGCTGATGACGCGCGAGAGTTGGTGTTCCCCGAAACGCTTGACCTTTCCTCGTGATGATACTCGACTGGGCTGTTGTCATCGGGATGAGGAAAGGCGCCCCAGCTGCTACGCCTTCGGCTATGGTTGTGCTGAAATTATTCACAGATGGATGTTTAGAGGTCTCTGTAGCTATCACATTGTTCAAGTAATAACCTGACGTCATTTTAATGGTTAATGACATCATTAGATGTCAAAATGACGTTTGCTACTTGGGATCGTTCGATATTGAAATGACGTCGTTAAAAATAACGCCATTTTAACGGTTAATGACATTATTTGACGTCATTTTGATGTTTAATGACATCATTTTGATATCGAATGACCGCAGGTAGCAAATGACATTTTGACGTCTAATGATATCATTCAATGTTAAAATAATATCATTTTATTGTCTAATGACGTAGTTAGATATCAATATGACATTTTCTTGCTACCTGTCATTAGATCCTAAGTAGCAAACTGACGTCATTAAATAATGTATGTTTGCTGGTATATCTAATGATGTCAAAATGACGTATGTTTGCTACCTGGGTCAATTATATATCTTATTCATATTTTTCATATTCGCGTCCGAGAAAAATGCAATAAAAATTATTATCGAAAATTTTAATCCCATAATGGAAAATCGATGATAAATGCTAATAAAATGCGTTCGCGAATAAAATGTCGGACGATCGATGTCTTAATCGTCTTTAAAGATCGAAAGTCAACATACATTAATGTAATATATGTAGCAAAAAGGTATTACGCTGAGTTAATATATTGTAACTTAAACACGATAATTTACATATGCGCATTAGTTATTGGAATAAAAAGAGCACTTTTTTCTTACAACTCTCTTGTGATGGCATATCACGATATAAGCTAATCAGATTAGATATTATTAAGATATAAGTGTTTTTCCTAAATGTTTTGCACGAATCTTCATTTTCTTTTACGTTTTACACTTTAGATGTATTTTGCACATATACGCATAATCTGACGAAAAGGGGCAAAAATTAATTTGTTACATGCAAACTATAAAATAATTTCAATACAATTTCTTTGTGAAGAATTAAAAATTAGTTTGACTCTTTATATTAGAATAATATATAATTTCTTCTTTATATCATATTGCATGTGCATGCATGTGCATGCGTTTAAAATGCATATACATATATGTATGTGTATGTAATGTATATATACATATATACATATATACATATATATATATGTATATGAAACATTAAACGATAACTCACTATGAGAATATTCTCACATGCGCGGGATGTAAAACCGAATTTTGGGACAGTGTTAAGTATACCTGATGACTGTCATCGTCTAGTTGCAGCTTGTTATCGTCCATTATTGATCTCTTCGAGTTTCTTTCAAGATACGCAGAGGTAGATGAGAAGACTTCCGGCGAACAGTGTTCGTAGTGTTGCTGTATCGAATAACATATTTCCTTCCTTTCTTTCAAGAATAACTTTTCAAAATAACTGTTCAAACGATTACTCCATTAATTCGCACGCCGAAACACTGTCGAAAAGAGTATTTCGTTCCTAAAGTAGATCATTCTAGAATGAGATCTGATACTTTCACGAGGTCGTCCCCAGGATATTCGCATCCGACACTCTTCCTCCGATGGTTAATCGCAAGAAAACCAACATCGATCAGCGTCGATGGCGCGGGACAGCTTGCCAATGGCCTCGATTGGTTAAAGATTTAATTATGAACGGGTCAGGATTCAATCTAGCTCGAAGAAATATTAGTGGTCAGAGATAGATGTTTTCGCTGCTGGATCTTCGGTTAGGTTGTGCTCACGAGAGAAGAATCGAAGATTTCGAAGGAATTTTGGATTCAATCGCCACGAATTCATCTTCACGCATCGGAACATAGTGGGTTGGATCTTCAGTTTCAAATGTCATTATTGGATTCACGATTACGTCGATTGTTTATACACTATCTGATTAATTAGTCACATAGTAAGTATACGTCATTTTAACATCAAATGACATCATTAGACGTCAAGAATCGAAGATTTCGAAGGAACCTTTTTACCGATTCAATCACCACGAGTTTATCTTCACGCATATGTTCATAGTGGGTTGGATCTTCAGTTCCAAATGTCACTTTTGAATTTACGTTTACGTTAATTGTTTATACACTATCTGATTAATTAGCCACGTAGCAAGTTATGTCATTTCGACATCAAATATGACATTATTAGATGTCAAAATAACGCCATTTCGACGTTTGATAACATCAGTGTGCTACTTAGGTCGCACCAGTTGTCATTTCTTTAACTTTGGATTTCTTCTACACCTTCGCGTAATATTTCTAGGTATTTCTTATTTTTTTGTAATTCAAAAAATGTCTGCCACCCCTTTCTTAGATGATTCTTGCCGATAGGCGGGTGTGGAAGGATCCGGTGTCCAAATGAAGCGGCTGGAAGAGTAAACGATCAAGCAAGTAGCTCTCAGACTACATTGAAGAAACTCGTTGATTCGTACGAATGAATTTTCCTCGATCGAACTGATACACCGCACTTTCGCGACGGTAGTGTGACATATACTAGGCCAATAAAGAGCACAGTGATACTTATATATTGCACACATGTATCGTCCCATCAGTCCCTTATTTATGTGCTTGTACACGGTTCCGCGGCGAGGATATGTATGTGTATGTGTGTGTGTGTGTGCATTACCTTTGTCGGGGGTGAAGATTTCACCCCCTCTCACGCGGGGGCGAAAGCAGCCGAGAGGCGGAATGTCGAGGCTTTCGAAATTGCTATGGTTACTCGATGGACACAACATGTGTTACATACATACGTCATGTTAAACACATTACTGGTTCTTCTTCTGAGCTTGAACTTGAAGAATGTCAGCGCGTGATCTAGGCAAGCTTCCTTTTGCTATACCATATTGTGTTAATTATCGTGTTGACAAAAAATAAATTAGATTGAACCCAAAGCTGAAAATCTTATCTCATTATTGTAACATTATTTTTTTTTTTTATTAAAACAATTACTGTATTTTGGTCAAATGTTCATCACATTTTAATATTGATTTTGACATCAAGTTTTTTATTTGAACAAAATTGTATATTATTTAAATTATAAAATTATATAAATTATATAAATTATAAAATGTATAAAATTATAAAATTATATAAATTATATTATTTCTTTATTATTATCATCCTACTAAATTGAAGAGAAATTTTTTTATTTTTTTGAATCTCTTATACGTATACACACACACACACACACACACACACACACACACACACACACATATATGTGTATATATATATATATATATATATATATATATATATATATATATATACTTTGCTGAAATGTATTCGATGAACAAATATGATTATCTCTGAGGGAGTTTGAGACAATAAAAATGTATTAATGATAAATGTTGTTTCGTACATCTATATAATTGTCATCATGATTTAATATAATATTAAAATTCATAAAAATATTTAAACCATCTATTTAAAATATTATAAAAAAAACACACAAATATATATTTGAAATTATATTTTATCATCTATTTACCATATGAATTTAAAATAAAGGTAATATAATAATACGTAAATGTCAATTTCATTGAAAACATATTAATAGAAAAAGATGATTAGAATTATTAGATGTTTCAAATGTCTGATTTGATCACTATCTATTTTTATTCTCATCTTTTCTATTTTTACTCATCATTCTATTATTTATTATCACACAAGCGCTTATTATATTGGATTTCAGTCTATATATTTTCTCTATATTACTCATATTTATTATAGTTTCTATATATTTATATTATGCGCCAATTTATTATCATTATTAAAATCAATCTTGAGAAATAATGCAATTTAATAAATAATTTTGAAAATCAATGTGATAATCATGACACTGTCTATATATAGTTACGATTCTTAAAAATTTAGATGAAATTTATTTTGAGAACAGCCTGAATTATTATGATTCTTGTAATTCAGTTCAGCGCAAGGTATTAAATTGCATTAAAAAGTTATAATTGTAATTAAAAGTTAAAAAAAAACTTAAAAAAGTTAAATCTTTGAAGACGCTATGTAAAGTGACCATATAGTGTTATTGTGCTTAGATGATTTTAAAATTCGTTAGATAAAGATGCGATAAAAATATATACATAAATTTATCTTACATAAAATGAAAATAATTTTGTTTTAAATAATATAGCTAAATAAAAAAAAATAAAATTATATGGAGTTACATTGCTAAATAACTTTTAGATAATATATAATATTTTTAAGACCATTTATGTAAACAAAATGATAAAAAATTGTAAATTATACAAAAGATATGAAAATATATTCATACTCTTATTTATAAATTTTTATCGTTCACTGCTCAAGTATTTTTATGGGCTATGGCCCTAAAATCAAATTATCTCACCATATATTCTAGATAATTTAATATAAATAAAATATTAGAAAGATTTTTTAATCTAAGATATAGATAATAAATAATATAATAATATTAATAGTATCTAATATTAATAATATTAATATCTTAGATTTATATTATCTAATATTTATAAAATATTAATATTAGATAATAGATAATATAAGGAATGCAGATATAGATAATACATATTTTTATTGTTTATATAAGGATAAAAACGATGTCAAAATTCCATCTAGATAATCATCTATATAATTTTATTTAGATAACAGCAAACACTGAAAGTGACTGCTTTGCGATCTGGCGATAAAGTAAAAAAGCAAATTGTCAGCGTCCCGGCTATAAATCGACGTTGTAGCACGTGTGTCACACAGTGTATGTATTCCGGTGATGGAAAGCACATGTAGATTGACAGTTGTGGGTACACCGTCAAGTTTCACATATGTTTGACATTGCCGACAAAAGCGACTGCATTAGATGAACGAGGTGAGTCCGAAGATCGGATATTTTGTGAACTTTCTACCGAACCAAGTGAGTAAGAGAAAAAATTGCAGTATATTTTCTTATTAAATAAAAAGAATAAAAACAATATACGCGCAGTCATTAAATGTATCATAATATCTAATTTAATTATTAAATTCTTTATTAGACTAATAATCAATTTTTTTATCATATAGAAAATTTACTCCACATTCTTATTCATATGTATAATAAATAATTTTAAATAATTTAAGTAATATTAACAAATTCATTAATTTTGTTTAATTAATTTATATATAATTAATTAATATTTATAATATAATATTATTAAAATTTTTATATAATATTGTATATTTTTATTCATATTATACACAAAATTTAAATATATTATTATATTAATCATGTTACGAATTAAATTTCTAATTTTTTTGTACAAACAATGTCTCGTCGAAATAATTTTATTCTATATTTTAACTAATTTTTCACGAATTTTTTTACTTTCTTGCTTTTTGAATTCTATTTCATTTTTGTACTATATATGTATATGTGTGTGACTTTTTATAATATTTAAATTATAATGTAATACAATATAAATAATTGTTATGTATATAATTTTTTATTAAATTACAAATATAATTTGATATAAATATATAATATCTAAATATATGATAATGAGTAAAAACCTGTTATAAATCATATTGAGCTTAGCTTACAATATGAATAAGTGTTTTAGTGATTTCTTCTATTAAATAATAAATTTAAAAAAATTTATTATTTAATAGAAGAAATATATATATACATATATATATATATATCCGTGAAAAAATGATTTGATCAAATTACATCAAATTATATCTGATCACATATAATTTTTTATTGATCTAATATGAATAAATCTGATTAGATATAGGACATATACGAATAGATCAAATTTGATATAATCATATCTGCTTATATCTGACCTTTGTCTATCATCATATGTGACTAGATCAAATTAGATTATAGTTTCTTTATTTGCCGCTATGCGACGCATGACTCGCTATATCTTTCTCGTATTTAAATAGTCAGAATTATATAAAGTTGACGAAATTGGCTCAAATAAGACTAAAAGTATTATACTTGTTTTATATCAGTTTTTTGTCTCGATTCCAACACAGAGAATTTATTATTTAAATACATTATATATTATATAATACATTTAATTACATTAAATTACTTTAACAAACTTTCAGTGCTGTATAGAAGATATTTTATGAAAAATATGATCATTCGCGGTTTTTATATCTGTTCAGATCTATATCTATCCAGATCTACATAAATCTGATTAGATAACTCTAAAATGCAAATCTGATCATATCTTATAATTGAGGTCTAATTTGCCCAAACCATATATGATTATTTTTCCCGAGAAGAAAGAAAATAATTAACATAAACATTCTATGAAAACAAAAATATTACGTCGCGATACTGATCTTTTTTCTAAGATTTTCAAAATATGTCATTCTTTTTTCTTTAGTATTTTCGCGTTTTATATTAGATAACTCACAACTTCTTTTTTTTAGTATAAATTTTAGCGCAATTTATTTTAGTAAAAAAAAAAAAAGAAAAAAATGATACGCAAAATATCATAGTGAGAAAAGAACACGTGCAATTTAAAAATTTCCCCCTGAGGTGTCTACGATTACACGATCGATATAACACTAAAAGTGTTATTTCATAAATGTCCTTTTCCCACGAGTGGATGTGTATATTCCCCTATAGCCATTTTCCCCTCTAATTTTATTCTATGTGTACAAACACACATGTTTAGTCGTCGAATAAAATAAAATTTAACTCGAATATTTTGAAGCCGGATGATGCATTCATAGTGAAATTTAAAGTTATATTAAAATGTGGTTATGTAATAATAATTAATGCAATTTTGAATTAAAAAAAAATAAGTTGACGATTGATACAATTAAGATTTTGCTGCGGCCAAATTAATATCATTTCTTATTAAATATTTACGTAAACTTTTATGTAATTATATTTTTCTTGTTTTAACAAAAATATACATTATTAATTATTGAAAGCTCTAAATTTTTAAATGTTTCTACGAATGCTAAAATTAATCATTTATTCGAAGTTTAACATGTTAGATAACATATTGCATATTGTGCACTGATGATGTTGAAATTGAAAACAGTGAAAATGATAAAACATTTATATTCGATGCAAATTATGTGCAGTATTTAATTTCAATGTGTTGAAAGAATGAAATACATAATAATATCTTAAAACAACTTTATTTCTTACCTTTTTGCATAAAAAAAAACTACTTCTAAATTAGATGGACAAAATAGTTTTAGAAAAATACGTTTTTATTTTTTTAATATATAAGAAATATATAAATAAATATTAATGTTCTCTATTATAACAATATTCTTGTACCGTAATTATATTTAATTTAAATTTTTATCGTCTAATCACTGTGTAGAATATATAACTGTAAAATAAGATACTGAAGTCTTTAGTAACTGAAAATTGAAAGATATTTTAATATTATCCTTATGATATGTGTGCTGTTTTTATAAATATATATTTTACTATCTTATACCGTCGCAAAACACTCTATAGATGCGGAAAAAAGTCCTCTGACGTTCAAAGTAAAATTTTTGACATTTCTTTGCATCAGAAACAGTATCATTCTTTGTATACTTAATGGAGCTCTGTACCATTTAACGTTATATCTAGAAAAAGTTAATTTATAATGATTAATCTATAAAGAGATAAAATTTTAAACGCATTATGAAACAGTTCTTTATATATATCCTTATACATGCTATTTAGCAGATACGTTTCTTACACGGTAATAAATATATGCTCATTGTAATTTGTTACGATTTGACCGAGATAATTTGCTAGAAACATATACAAGATATAGACAAATGCGAATAAAAAGGCAGTAATAATTCCTCAACATTTTCTTTGAATGACATAATCTGAAAAAGTTCAGACAAATCTAAGATATTTCATACAATATACATTATACATTTAACAAAAAAATTTTTTCTCAACAATAAGAAAAAGGATGATCATTTCCTATATTATTTTTGAACATTAAATATATACGGTTCTATTATTATCTATGTGATTTAAAATTTTTTAGAATTGTATTTTGTGATGAAGAAATTAAAAAGATAAAATATCAAAATCAATATTTAAAAAATACGAAAAATGATTACACTTTTCCTTTGCGTTTTTTGTTGAATTCTACATATAATCGTATATTCGTACGAAATATTCTGTAATCATTACGTTAACATAACATAAATAAACTGATTAATATTTTGTGGAATGTTGTTGCTCATTGTTCGTTCGATACGATAGTAAATAATATTTGTGTTCCATTTATACATAATAAATTCTTATATAAAATATTTTTAATTTTAATGCTAAAATAAGTAACTGATTTTATTCAATTACTTACGAATAACGATAATATTACGCTCTCTATTAAGAAAGAAGGTCATTTGTAAATTATATGTTTCCGAATTATAATGATTCTGACCATTCTTAATAAAAAGTAAGGAGATAACGAAGTCATCTCAGGTAGCAAGCGTATGTGATTTTGACTATATTAAACGTCGAATGACGTCATTAGATATCAAAATGACGTCATTATGCTACTTGGGACCTAATATACTGTGCAGTTGATCGTGTAACTTATTGTAAACTGTGGAAATTATCGAGTACGTGCTCAAGAATAGATTTAACAAAACAGAAGACTTACTCGAAACAGATTGAAGCTCACCGATAAAACTCCAAATATTATTAAACATAACATCATTGTCTCAATATTAAACATGAAGACTGTGGATAAGCTATAGAAATAAAAATTTGTTATTATGTGTATATAGCAACCCAAGTAGCAAACTGACGTTTAATGACGTCAGCTTGCCACTTACAGTTGGAGTAGGTACGCATATTATATATATACCAACTTCATAGCTTGTCGATGAATGTTCACAGCGCAAATTAAACCCTTGTATATGAAAATGTATTTCAACTGATTAATATTTTGTAGAATGTTGTTGCTCATTGCTCGTTCGATACGATAGCTATAAATAATATTTGTGTTCCAATTACACACAATAAATTCTTATGTAAGATATTTTTTCAGTTAAACAATTGCCCAGGTAGCAAGCGTACGTCATTTTAACATTAAATGACGTCATCACACGTCAAAATGACATCATTTTAACATTTAACAAATGTCAATTTGCTATTTGTGTGTTGAATAGTATTGTTTATAAGTATTCGTTCAAAAGTGTATAAATATTTATGGCGTATTTCGTGTTTACATCCGCACATACCTGGCAATTTTAAACATTCCACAAACAAGTTGAAGATACGTAATGAACATTGTTCCTATTGCTACCATTGCAGTCACCCCAATAATAAACGCTGCAATAGTATGCAAGAGTATAAAATAAAAATATTTTTGTTGATCGATAAAATACTCCGTCATGATTATCAAATGATGCGATCTTGACTCGTTTATCGATGAAATAATATTTAAAATATCCGACCAAAGTGACGCAAAAATGCCAAGAAATATGCTACAAATGGCAAATACTGAAAAGGTATCAGAAATATTATTTAATCTTCTGTCATATAAGTTTTTAAATTATCTTACATATTATCTAATTCTAATTGCATATTTTAATTGAATCCTTAATTTTCTTTCATTAACCAATGTGTGATTGATCTATAATATTAATGGCTGCCATTTTTATCACTTTATTCCAGTTTTGAAAATATTTGTTACAGATATATAATCTACACAAAAAAACTATTATATTGTATATCCTAAAAATGTTGCAATATTCTATGGATATTTTCTGAATATCTGTCGAACATTTCTGCTGTTAGGGTACTTTGTTAAGAAATGGATTTTTTAAGTTTTCAAAAGTGAAATAAAAAGTGAATAATAAGAAAATAGTATAATCGTATTTGTGTAAATTCTAAAACGATTATCTTACCGGTAAGTAACATAGTATAACGTACGCCATAACATCCATATTTGTTTATAATAGCAATTTCATTTTCGTCTTTCAATTCATTACACACATGCAATAATCGTTCCAATAAGTCCTTCATCTATTTCAATAATTTCATATCTTATACAATAAATAATAATGTCAGAAAACATGGCATAATAATAAGTTATTGAACAAATTTTTTCCGTCTTATAAGTTAGGTATCAACTTACACCGTTGATATTAACATAAAACATGTTGTATTTTATTATAAAACTTATAAAGAAAACTATAGAGGATAAAACTTTAATGATGAGATCCGTAGTACATTTTTGAGAAATAAATACTGTACACTGCAAGTAAAAATTAAATGTGTTTGCATTAAAAAATTATTAGGTTAATGTCACGTGTGCATATGGACACATGAACTGTATAATTTACATTATATACCACTAATTTTAAAAAATTATAATTATTTTTGATAAAATTTTATTTACAATAGGAGTATTTAATAAAGTCAAATGCACATGTATTAAACACATATACATATATATACGTGTTTTGATATTTGGTATGTGTGTATGGTGTGTAAATAATAAATATTAAAAGGTAACACTTCACCGATTATTTTAATTTTTATATCAAGAAACGCGATAGCATTTCATTAATTGTAAGACTTTATTCGCAGTCTCATCAGAAAGAGACTACCTCGTATTATTTTCTGAAATATAAAAACGCTTATTTAAGAATAAATTAAAATGTAATAAAGTAATTAAAGTATTATATATATCTAAATAATAAAATTAAATAATACTGACATACTTATTTGTACATGTGTATATATTATATTTATTTATATAATATTTTTCTATGTAATTCTATAAAAAATCTAGATTATTTTTGTATCTTAAATAAGCAGTTTTATTTAAATAAACAATTCATATATTTCAGAAACCATATTGTATGTATTTGCGGATTTGTTGTTTCTAATACAATATATGTAAAAATCAAAATGATTTATAAGTGTAACCTTTTCGGACAATATTTACCATATACACAATTAATCTATATATAAAAGCAAAATTATGATTATATACAATTATCATGTAATTAATATTATTATTCGATGCTAATCTAAATTGTGATTTATAAATTTTATGGTAAAAATTGCTTGCCGTAATTCATATATTACACGATATTAGTTATTTATTAATACTTACTTGAAATATCACTTGTGTCGTTAAAATACTAGACAGGAAAATAAATTGAAATCGAGTGAGATTTGATTGTTGTAAGGGCCACACGCCTAGAGCGAGCAGAAGAATTTTATGTATACGAAAATGGTTAATCTTGACGCCGGTCATCTCTTCGCAAAGTCTGAGACATGAATGATTGTGAAGAGCAGCCGACGAGAGTCGGCTTATCCCCCTCTTCTTCTTCATCGTTTACCTATTATCTGTTATTTACTTATCACCTTTGGTGTAAATTCTAGCGCATAAATTACTTAATTTCGTATAATACAAGGTGGTATAAGATATCTTGCCTTACTATATTACCTTAGAGTCGGAGTATTCGTATTTTTTTAACACTATTTTTCGAAATTAAGTAGAATTACGCAATCATTTTAATAACAAAAGAAATTTACCTAAAATTTTTCTTCCTTAAAAAAAGGGGAGAAAATATTGATAGAATTATGTATAATTACGCGATCAATTTATATAACAGAAGAAATTTACTTAAAGTTTTTTTCCCCTACAAAAAGGGGAGAAAATATTGGTAGAATTATGTACATACCTATATTTACGCGCAAGTCGCGCATGCGTAATCGTCACTTTTTTGTAACAAAAATTTCACAGCCTTCATTTCATCGCGCGCTTTCGTGACATACGTATGTTTCTTGAGAATAATATTCAGCTTTCAGTGGTATAGTATGTAATAATATGTAATAATATAGGTGTATAGTATGTATCGTAATTTTAGCACACGGCATTCAAAAGATTATATTGTAGTTTATAGCAAATTTTACACCCTTGTAACAATTTTTAAATTGTAATGTTTTCTCGTCAGAGGTAGTGGTCCGCAGGTGACGTGAAATTACTCATATGTGAACCAAAATTTCCCGTTAGATTAAAATTATATTTGATCTTATATATATAGAGAGAAAAAAAAGTTATATATATAGTTTTATATTATTACACAATTCATTTAATAACAGAAGAAAATGTCTTTTTCCGATATAAAAAAATAACAAAATATCAAGAGACACGGTAGTGTCTTGTGCTAAGTCCAAGAAAGAAAAAAAGACACGCCATGTCTCTTTACGCGAGTCGAATAGTTGAGAGTATTCGATATTTTCAGTTCACATATAACCGCTGAATGGATTGAGTTATTTCTAGGCTCAATCGATATCTTGAGTATGAATTATGTAATGAAAGTGTCTTTATTTTTGCCCTTGCTCTCTAAACGAAGCTATTACGATACAAAGTTGAAATGTCAAAATTTTTCATTAAGAAACGTCGCGGCCCACGTATGCGACGTACTCTTCATATAACTGACGCAAGAAGGCGCTAACGTTTTGTGATGTATTAATTTATTGATTACCTGGTTTTAATAATTCATTATCTAGTTTTGACAGGTATGGGTTAATATAATAAATTTGTTTGAAAAAAATAAAATTACAGACGTAGTATGTATACAATTATTATTTTGCTTCGGCTTGATGCAAGCAAATGAATCTGTGTGGAATCGGTTTCTGCAAAGAAAAAATAAGACATCAACAAGTCATGTCAATTTTTTTGGTAGTTCGATTATGTTTGAGAATCTGCTAAATGTACATGTGATTGATATCATTATTATAAAATATGAAAAGATTGCTCCAGAGTAAGTAATTTTTGCTTTGATGTAATTAATATTTTTTAAATGCATGCTTTATTTTCTTCTCTTTCTGAGATTTTGTTGCATGATATAATTATACTCATGCCAAATATTTACGTATATGAATAACTTTTTTATATCCGATATTCTAATCTACAATTTATGTAGATAGATATTAAAAATTAGAAATTAAATAAAATAAATGTATAGTACAAAAAGGAGTAATATCCCTAAAAAAATTATCTTTTTAAAAGAAGATAAAAAAGGTGCTAAGTCCGCGTAATGTCCCTGTAAAAACCTATCCTACAAGAACTATTAATATAAAAATATTATGCTAAGTAAAATTAAAAACTCTAAAATATTGTAATTTTATTTAATTAACCAAAAAAATTATATAAAATAATTTTTTAATTTTCTACATCCTACATAAAATAATATTAAAAATTAACATAATTAAAAAAATTAAACTTTAAAAATTTTTTAAAAATTATATAGAAATTAAATATGTAAAAAAAATTAAAAAATAATTTTAAAAAATTAAAAACTTAGCACAGCTAAACTTTAATTGAAAGACATTCAAGCGAAGAAATACATTAATTTTTAACATATTGTTTGTTTAATTACGCAGTAATTTGCAAATTTTTAACATTATTTTTGGTAGGATGTAGGAAATTAAAAAATTATTTTATATAATTTATTTGGTTAATTAAATAAAATTAAAATAATTTAAAAAGTTTTTATTTTTACTTAGCATAATTTTTTTATATTATTAATTTTTGTAGGATAGGTTTTTACAGAGACGTTACGCGGACTTAGCATCTTTTTTTTACCTTTTTTTAAAAAAGTAATTCTTTAGGGATATATATTTACGCGAAAGTCGCGTATGCATAATCATCACTTTTTTGCCAAATTTTACACCTTTTATTTTATCGCGCGCTTTCGTGATATATACGTACATATTCTTAAAGAACCATTCAACAATTAGTACTTTAATATTTGTGATTAAGATGATGTTATTTTTGAAGACGAATTAATCAGATTTATTTTCAGCATTTTCAAGTCCTAAATTGACGTGATTAAAATTTTAATATTTTAGGAGCTATATATATCGATTTCTTTCTTTTCGCTTACAATATCAAATTATTCAGATAAACTCTTACTTCTCTCTTTAAATTGTCAAATTTCATACATATTAAAATAGACATTATTAGTATACTAATATTATAAAAAAGTCTGAGAAAATACAAATGTACAGATGAAATTGAAAGTATATAGTGTAAAGTAACTGAGTAATTATTTACTTTACATATATATATATATTATATATATATATATATATATACAGGGTGTCCCAGAATTGATAGTAGAAAAAAAATAGGCATATTCTACAAGTCAAAATAAGGTAAAATTGTTGTATAAACATATGTCCGGAAACGCACCCCCTTTGAGTTACACTCCTCCAAAGTTTCCCCAAAAACTTGAATTTTTCGTATATTGTCTAAACTTGGACTTAGAATTTTATGAAATTGGTACATACACATTTCTTTATGCGTTTTATTCATTTTTATTGTCAAAAATTTTCTAACAAAATTTCGAAGGGGGTTTTAAGGGGAGGGGCTACTTTTCAATATGACAAAACTTATGTGTGGATGCAATAAATTTGAAATACATTACAGTTTATGATGGAAAATACAAAAATAAGCAATTTTTGACTCTTTGATTTTTTTCATACGACAAACCGTTTTTGAGATAATCGACTTAACAATAAAAACACCTGTATTTGTACCCTACGCCTCAACCTACGGGCAAGTTTTGCGCGAACTATGTAGTGCTATTTTTGTTTTATGTTTGTTTTTATTTTTTGTAATCTACCATTTGTGATTTGAGCGGATAGTGCTTTGCGCGCGAACTACATAGTTCGCGCAAAACTTACCCGTAGATTGAGGCGTAGGGTATAGATACAGGTGTCTTTATTGTTAAGTCGATTATCTCAAAAATGGTTTGTCGTATGAAAAAAATCAAAGAGTCAAAAAATACTTATTTTTGTAATTTCCGTCATAAACTGTAATGTATTTTAAATTTATTGCATCTACACATAAGTTTTGTCAATTTAAAAGTAGCCCCACCCCCCTAAAACCCCTTCGAAATTTTGTTAGAAAATTTTTGACAATTAAAATTAATAAAACGCATAAAGAAATGTGTATGTACCAATTTTCAAAAAATTCTAAATCCAAGTTTAGACAATATACGGAAAATTCGAGTTTTTTGGGGAAACTTTGGGGGAGTGTAGCTCAAAGAGGGTGCGTTTCTAGACATATGTTTATAGAACAATTTTACCTTATTTTGACTTGTAGAAAATGCCTATTTTTTTTACTATCAATTCTGGAACACCCTGTATTATGTGCAGCATACAATTTCAACAAGTTAAAAATATGTAACGCATAATAGTACCTTCCCATACAGCACAGATTATTGCAATTATATTGCAGCAACGTTGCAATGTTGCAGTTGCAATGCAACATTATACAGACATTGCAGAGATATAGGTGCACAAAATTCCAGCACACTTGTAGCAACATGACATTAATATTTCGGAAATATTGCATGTAATCCAAATTCTATAATTTATATATTGTAATATATATAAATTAACTACAACATATTTTCATTAATAATTTATTTACATTTATATACCTGTATATGCAACATTAGTTTATAGTTGCAATAACAATGCATTATTGCAAATTCATAACATTGCAATATTTTGTTGCAATCTTCCAAAAAGCGGACATTTTAACATTGCTGCAATTCAACAGCAATGATGTAGCAACATTTTGCAGTGAATTTGCAATATTGCAATATTGCGGTGAAAGATTGTTGTAATGTTTTTGCAATCTATCGGTGCTGTATGGGTTAAAATAACTTTGTTCCTTTCTATTATATTTTCTTTTCCATGAGAAATCATTTCTAAACTAGACGAATGAAATAATTTTAGAAAGTAATGTTTTTATTTTCTTCATATATAAGAAATACTTTATAAATATTATTTATATTTTTCATTATGATTATATATTCTCTTACCGTAATTATATTTAATTCAAAAGATTATCGTCTCATCCTTGAGTAGAATAAATAACTGTAAAATACGATATTGAAGCCTTAAAAAGCTGAAATATGAAAGACACATTTTATTTTTATACAAATCATAATATGTTCTATTTTTATAAATATATATTTTATTACTGTCTTCTCTCTACTACCGTAGCAAAAGTCTCTAGAGATCCACTGAACAGTCCACCAACATTCAAATTAAAATTTTTAGAACTTCTTTGCAACAGAAACAACATCATTTTCTGTATACATAATGGAGCTATATACCATTTAACGTTATATCTATAAAAATTAATTTATAATGATTAATTTATAAAGAGATAAAATTTTAAACGCATTATAAAACAGTTCCTTATATGTATCTTTATACATGCTATTTAGCAGATACGTTTCTTACACGGTAATAAATACATGCTCATTGTAATTTGTTACGTTTTGTCC